AACCATTCTTAGATAAACCCGGTCTGTACCAATCAATGGGGTCTCATTTTTAAGCTGGGTCAACTTGGGAGCCAAGGTCATTTTAGGGAAAATTCCAAATTAATGTGGATTTGAACCCATGACCTTTGGGCCACTGGTGAGAGTCCAGCCATTAAACCACTTCTTGGACAGAAGTAGTTGAACTAATAATGTAGAGATAAAAGGTTAATATAACATCTGTCGATGCTAGAGAACAAGAGCATCATGTATCTTTGGAATGATTGACATATAATAATTTTGTATACCAAAATAGTTTAAGGCTTACACTTGCATTATATTTTTGGACTGTTTGTACTGTTTTTAGATATGGAAACTGGTATCTGAGGTCAGTGAGCATAAATGCTCTCTCTCTGCCCATTTCATTTAAATGGCTGGGAATAGAAGCCAAAAGCCGGAAGGAAGACATGCTGGTGAAGCAGTACATTTCTAATTTTACAGACCCAATGTGCTACTTTTGTTGTTGGCTGGTAGACTGGCCTCTGCATTTCTTCGATGAACCAAATCAGGCATGGTTTCTGTGACGTATTTGTAAATCTGATATTAGAGAGAGAGAGAGAGAGAGAGAGAGAGAGAGAGAGAGAGAGAGAGAGAGAGAGAGAGAGAGAGAGAGAGAGAGAGAGAGAGAGAGAGAGAGTGTGTCTAGCTGAGGCAAATATTAAGGGTGGTTAGCTTTTATTTGTTAAAGGATGACTCTTGATAAACATTGCAAGCCTTTTAACATTAAAAACACATGTATTTGCATTTTTGCAGTGTATTATCTTCTTTGTCTTCTGTCCTTCTCTTCTTTTCCCTCCTCCTATCTTTAGAAAGACACGCTGATGTCAGATTTTCCCTGTACACCTCAGTGATAGAGAGCATGGGTCATAGCATAAGTCACCAATACATTTTGATTTATTTATGCCATGAGGAAATTATTCCATTTAACTTTCCCACCATCCATCTTTCAGTTACCTTTCCTTCATCCATTATTATACCTTCTTTTGTTTTTAAGCAACTAGTTGTATCTTTTCTAAAACCTGATCCTTTTATACATGACTTGTATGTTCTGTCTTTGTCCTTTTTTTTTTTTTTTTTTTTTTCATTTATTATTTAGCCAAGCTATTTTTGCTGAATAAAATACAACTGAATAAATTATGGAGTTGGACAGACAAAACTACGAAAATTAGATTTCTAAGAGCATGCATCTTTCCCATTGCAACATACGCCTGTGAGACCTGGACACTTACTAAGTTAAGGAGAACCCAAATTTTATAGACGGATTCTAAAAATATCATGGGTTTTTAAAAAAATGCATCCATACTTCAAGAACTGAATATTGAAGAAGGTTGGCTATTGATGATAAAACACTGAAAATTTAATATTTTGGTCACTTGAAACGTCACAAAAGTTTAGAGAGAACAGTAATGGAGGGGTATATGCCTGGAAAGAGAGAAAGAGGCAGACCAAAGAGAAGATGGGTGCAGGATGTGGCGGATGATCTCCAGATGGGTGTATTGGATGTGGGACATCTTGCTTGTGATTAAGAAGTTTTCCAGAGGGTTGTTAAGTGACCAAGGTTCTGAAAAGGACATGCTACTGACTGACTGACTGACCTTTGCTTCATTACATTTAAGTACTTTTTCACAATTTGGATGGTACAGTATACATTTATGCACATTACATATTGAAAGAAACTGTGTTCATGTGGCTAGTATGTATGCCTGCTGGGCTGGAGATGAGTGATTCGAATTCCACTTGGGTGAATTTACTGAAGTCCAGGCAGCCAAAAATAAGCACCAGAAAATGTCCTAGGAAGTAAAGACAGTGTGATATTGATCATATCACCCACATTTTTTTTTTTTTGGGTCCATACAAATCTGAGTTTAGCACAGTCTGCTCTCCCAGGTCGACCCAGCCTAAAACTGGTATCAGATAATGACCTGTAAAGTGACTGTCTGTAAAAGTATAGTTCTAGGACTATATTCCTGACCCAGCAAAGGTGTGTAAAATAGTCTTTTACTTCGATTACTGCTTTTTGTAAAAAAATTAATTTTTTAATTAGCTTAAATATGGGAGCCACCATGTTGTAGCTGCTAGACGCTTGTCTGTGGATCAGAAGGTCATGTGTTCAGGTCTGACGGAGCAAGACTGTTTTCAAACATGACCTTGGCTCCCAGGTTGACCAGCCCTCAAATAGGTGCCAGATAATAAAGTCCTGGGAAGTAAATGTAGTTGGCGTGATGGTGGCCACATCTTTCACTGAGTGCCAATTAGTCTATAAAATATTGGTCTAGCCCCATATGTGCAGTATGCTCGAAGGCGTGGAAGAAGGTCCTTTACTTTACTAACTATATGCCTGATGCATCAGATGTACATACAGGGTCCTTTACTTCTTTATTTACTATTTTTTATAAATTTTTTTATATTTGTTACTTACAATATGCCAAAAGGTGTAAAAATGTTACATTTAATATATCTTGCTAAGATTTCTTCTGTATCCACAGGCTTGGCTTATCATCAGCCATATCATCTGTACTGACATACTGTCTTTGTCCAAACTGAAAAAAGAGGAATATGTTGGCTGCCTGGCTCAGATCTGTGTTCATCAGTGGCATGGCCTGATCAGTTGCCTGTTTCTGAAGATTGTCAGACAGTCATTTGATTACAGAGGTCTCAGCGTTTCAGGAGTAAGATAAACAACTACAGCTATGTATTTACATTATTCCAATTCTTTCAGCTACAAACTGTTGTTAATTTAACCCTTTCTGTTCCAAGAAGTTAAGCCTATTAAAAAACAAAAAATGTGTAGGTCTGGAGAAGTTAAACATATATTCTATGGGTCAGAAGTAGTTCAACTAATAATTCAGATATAGAGGGTTAATATAAAATGTTTGTGATAGAAGAGGGCAAGAGCATAACATTACCTTTGGAATATCAGTAGACTGTTGCTGAAAGAATTAATGAATACTTGCTTTTATAGACACTGTCTTGATAGCTTTATCAGGTTTCATCCTGTATTGTTACTGACTGCAATATTTGTTATGTTTAATATGGACATTTGAGTACATGTTAATTGGCCAGCATTTTCTTCTTCCTCTTCACATTAGCTCACTGCCAAGAGGAGAGGCAGCAGCAAATCTATCAGCTTACTCCTGAAACATTCTTAGAAAAGAAACAGGAAACCCATGATATGCCCATGATCTCTATTTTGTCAAGCGGTGCAAGCCAGTCTGCATTTAAGGTGCCAGTTTCTATTTTCCAAGGCATGCTTTCTGACTCCGTTACAATTACAACATGTCAGGCTGTGCTGCTGTCAGGCCATTGGAAAGCTGTCGCTACCACATTCTCATACTGCATGTTGTAGTAATGTAAAACAATAATAAAATAAAACCCCAACTGCTAATTTTACCGGTCACTCTAGACCCATCTGTATATACAATAATGTCACCTGGTCGTGAATTTTCATTGGTCAGCAGTTGCAATATTGCCTATTATTCACTAGCTACCCATTCTAGACAATACCTCTTTTGAGCCGATGTCACTTGCTATTGGCCAAGGCCTCATCTAGAATGTGTTCCCTGTCCTTCGTAACTTTAAGGTACAATTTTGTCTGTAAAGCCTTGTATCTTTCATACAGAACTGTAGTGTAAGTATATGCCGCATATACACAGTTAGCATGTATTGTGTACATCTCAGAATCACTCTCATGGCTTCATTTTGCATGCATTCAAGATTCTCTTTTCGGCGATGAGACAACATCAGCAGTTCCAGATCATACTCCATCACTGAAATAATCAGTTGCTGATAGAGTGTGAATAGCATTCTATGTTCCATATCCACTGATTCCACAACCTTCAGTGCATTGAGTCCTTTATTCTTATCTTTATACCCATCTTTTCCACATGGTGCTTGAAAGACAAAACTCTTGTCAAAAGTTATTTAAAGATATTATAGTGAATTCTTTCTCTCTTGATGTTAATACCATTTATTGTGATGTTCAAAACCTCGTTTCAAACAGTTCTATTATTTAATAAACATCACAATACTTTTCCCTTGATGACATAACCTGTTTCCTCACACCACTCACCTACCTTGTCTACCACAGTCTGCAGTTCTGTAAATATTTCTATTCTGTCTCCCCCCCCCCCCTTTTTTCCCTCCCCCATTTGTAGATTAGGATATCATCAGTGAAAGTAAATACCCTCACCTCTATTGCTGCTATCCTGCTTGTGTACACATTGAAAAGCACTGGGGGAATGGCAGATTCCTATGGAAAGCCAGGTGAAATACTACAGAGCTCCATGAGCCAAGGTGAAAAACAGTCTGATGTAATACTGGACTGCTGCAGTTATTGATAATCCAGAAATTGACCTTCATATCCATAAGTATAGACAGTTCAGTTTCATATTTAACCCTGTTACATTATCTTCTAGATCCAGTGCCGCTACCACTGTTTCATGTATCTTCAACTCTAATCTGCATGTGTCAGAACTTTCCTAATATTCCTTACTAATGCTTCCTAAACAATGTCTGCAACATTGCATTTATTTGTAATCGTTTTGTTTTTGTTTTTGGTCAGTGCTCCTTGCAAACAATTTCCAGATGGGAAGACCACAGACTTCTGTGAAGTTTGTGCTGGAATGCAAACTGGCCAGATCTGGGATCTCTCCATTGCATGGAATGATATACCATTCCATACATTTAAAAAAAAAAGAGGATGACTTTTAAAAAACCTGATATATTATTATTTAAATAATGGGGCATTTGTAAAATATTTACAATCAGAACTACAAACATAACTTACAAAACTAAAACAAGCTATTAGAATATGCTACTGTTATTAATAGTTTTTAATTTTTTGTTGTTGTTGCTTGTTTGAATAGATCTCAAGTTTTGTTTCATCAAAACTAACTCGTTTTGGTCGACGCAGTGCTAGAGAAATCCAAGCTACCTGGAGACAGCGACAGATTCGTCTGACAGAGATGAACTTGAAACGTGCCAGAAGTGCTGCCTCTGAAAATTTAGGAGGTATAAGATACCATAACATTAATTTATATTGTTGGTTTAGGCAATTTTTAGGGTGTGCCCCCCACCCACTCACACACCATACACATACCCCCCCCCCCCCCCCACAGACCCCTCACCACACACACACACAAAAGACCAACTTTATAAAAAGATAGCATATTTTAAATGTTTACTGACTGTTGCATTTAGATGTATATTAACTCTTTCAGAACCAAGCAACGCCTGTTGTATGTATTAATTTACCCCTTAATTCCTTTTCCCAGCATAATGCACCCTCTTACTTTGACCATTTGGTTATAATATAGTAGAGAATCTGGCTTCTGCATTGGTCACTACAGCAGTGTATATTGCCACTTTGAAATTAATGTATTTATGATTTTGCATAATGATTATTTCGTCACTATAGTTTCTCCTGTGTAACCTTCTGGTACTGAAAAAGTTTAAGAGTTGATTGAAGAACCGACATCTCAGCACTCGGGGAATTCTCATAAGCGCTTCGTACCCATCTTTAGCAGTCAGCACAGAGTTCCAATACCAGTGGTGCCAGTAGCATTCTGATTAAATGTCCGTCTTGCCTTCCTCTAAGCTTCAAGCATCGACCTGAACCCCTCATCACTCCCTGTTGCATCTCTCTCACCAGACTGGTAATCCATTTGTTCCTCTGAATTGTATACGTTCTCCTACACGGCTCTAACCACATCTGCCTTATCATGCATCAGTATTTCACTAAGTTGTGCAGAGCCAGCCAGTCTGTCCCCCTGTTTATTTCTCAACACACCTGTGTAACCCGGTGAAAAGATCCAGACAATACTCCTCACCCTTGAGCTCCGCAGCGAAGCATGCCACTCTGCACAAAGCACTCCTGCCCTCAAACCTTCCTCAGCATGCTTTCTGAGTCAGTTACATTCACAACGTGTGTGTGTGTGTGTCGTGTTCTCTAACCAACGGAAAGCTGCAGGGAATGCCTCCACCTCCATTCTCAAGCTGGATGTTGTGGTATCATATGCTAGGCTTTCCTGCACTAAATGTTGACCATTAACTTTTGCTAAGAAGCCCCAAGCACCTCTTTTACCTCTTGACACTGAACCATGTGTATAAATAACCACATCCTCTGAACAAGCATTATTTTGAATTAATTGTTGAATTTCTACCTTTATGGCTACTGCTGGCCACTCTACACTCCTGGCTCAATGTTATTATGGCTACACAAATTGAACTGTTCCGCTGGCACTCTTACCCACTCCTCTCCTTGCCTAATGTTCTTCAGGATGCAAACCTGTTTGACTGTGTCTTCTGCATGAGCCATCCATGACTTCCCTCTTATCAAGAAAAAACAAAATTAATAAAGGAAATTGCTGGAAACATTTAATCCCATTATGATTGAAAGAGGGAATCATGGTGCAATAAATAGTTTGACCTCCAGACAGATGATCATAAGTTTGAATCCCCATTGAGAAAAATTCTTTAAAAAAAAATTACCTGCATTCGCAGGTTGACTCAGCCTAAGAGGAAGAAAAAGAATGTTCTGGAAAATTAAGGTGCCACATATGAATGATCACATCACACATTTCCCTATGTGGGTTCCCAGGCCTTGTGTGGAAAACAAGAAAAGACTCATTGCCTCCCTAAAGAAAGCATGTCGTAAGAGCTGACCAATTAGGAGTTTTCTTTGACGTCAAAGTGCATCAGCCTGAGAGGCAAGGTACCAACAGGCTGCATATAAATGAGGTAGATCTGTAAAATGGATATGCATGCAACATTCAGGCTCTGGAACAAGACTAAAGTCCGGAGGTGGACAAATACGCAGAACTTAATGCTGGAGTGTACAGCTGGTGAACGTGAAGAAGAAATCACACATTGAAAACAGATTGGTCTATAGAATTATAATTCATAGAAATGACTGCTTTATTTCTGTGTGATTAGGAAAGATAGAATTGTTCCATGTTGACAGAAAATTTACATGTTGACACATAATTTAAAGGGTGACACATTTTATGGATGCTGATAGAAAATAACTAAACATATTTGTAATAGTAACCAGTGTTATATATTTCTTTATTTTGTAATGAAAATTCATAAAAATTGTGAAAGTTGAGTTCACATTTTTGGCTGAAGTTTAATTGTTAAATGTGGTGTATTTTTTCTTCTGCTTCATCTTTGTGTTGACCCGCTGTATACTCTGGTGGAAAGTCCTGGTTGTTTATCAGGTTCTATAGACAGTGGGAAACCAGGCTGGCATGTGTGAAAAATTGGCTAATGGATAATTTAAGGTAAATAGGAAAATCAGAAACCCTAGGAGGAGGGAGAGTAAAAGTGCTACTCCCTCCGAGACCAGACAAGTGGAACACCTTGTATGGAGAAAAAGAACAGCTTGTGAAAACATGCAAATTCCACTACATGGCATTGGGCCAGAGGGCAAAAGCTTATGCGCTTCTGGATCGATAACAACATCATCATCATCATCAAGTTCTGTACTGTGGCTTTATTTCTAAGACTTGAATGTTGCATGCACATTCATCTTCCATATTTTTTTGAGTTAGAGGCAAACATCATAGGTAGACCGGTGAACAAATCTGTTTAATTACTTAGATTTGTATGTTACATATTTTTTCTCAGATGAAAATGAGAGTTCTGTGTGGCTGGACAGACCAAATTCCCTCAGACGAAACAAGGACATTGAGAGTACAATATGTCTGAACTGTATGTCTAAGAAAGAAAATTCAGATGATGGTGATGAGCAGAATGAATTTGCTTGTATTGTTGAGGATTTTGATGATGACTACCTGGAAGATTTCCTTGACTTCGATGTCATATTTTCTTCCCAAAATAAGCCCAAACTTTCCAAATCACAAAAAGAGACCAGGAAAAAGTTTAAGAAAAAACATCACAAAAAGATCACAGCAGCAGAATTTAGTATTGTGAAAGAAAACGAAATAAAGCCTCGATCACGAAAGAAACGCTCTAAAGCAAAGAGACAGGTACAGTTTTCTGAGGATTCTCCAGAGATAATGGGCATTGACAATGTCAGATTTAATGACGTCACTGGTGACATGTACAATGACATGGATCTTAAATCTGATATTTCTGGGTTTGGTGATACCTGTAATCTTGGGGGCCAGTTAGCTCTCGGTGGTGTCAATAATAATAATGTTGCTGATAGAAACATGAATGCTGATGAAGAAGATGATGTGTCTGAAACTTCATACATTCCTGAAAGTGCTATCCTTCACCAGCAGCAGACTGCTGTGTTGAAGAAGATATTTGAACGGAAGCAGAAGAAGAAACAGACTGTGGACAAAGAAAGTAAGTTGTCACTGATTTCTCATCAACATTTATTTGTATAATTTCTAAATGATATTCATTTTTTTTAAATGTCCTTCTATATCTTACAGATTTCTTATACATTTATTTATTTAATTATTGAGACTGCAAGTTTTGTGGTTTGTGAATCCTTTTTCTTTAAGCTGTGTGATATATCTTAAAGGAGTTATTCACTGAGTGGTGCTGTGGTCTCAATCGGGAGACCCAGATTTGAATGCATGGTAAGGTGTGGACATTTTTGTGTCTGCAGGATAAAGTAAAACTCTTGTCCTGCACAGCTCATTAGTCATGATCACTAAATCTTCACACTTAAGGCACCGTCTACCCCCCCCCCCCCCCCCTCTTCCCCAAATCCCCCAAACACTGCACTACAGTACGGTAAATGAAGGCAGTAAAGACAACAAAAATATCTAATCCCTGGTGAAGCAGATTTATTTTCTCAACAGATTAAAAGAAAATCATTGGAGCCTGTGTACTGTTCATTATTTGGAAGTACATGTGGTTGCTGATTCTCTTTTTCTTCTGCCTTCTAACCCCCAATGGAGCTTAGGCCCTTAACCAAGTCATTTTATCCTTTGATGTTGCATGCCGCTCACCCCGTGTCCCTCCACATCTTTTTAACTTCACTCTCTAGCTCTCTTCTCCATGTGTTTTGTTTTGTTTGTCTGCCTCCATTTCTGTTCCCCTGTGGGTTCCAGTGCAAAGACATTCTGGTTACATTGGTCTCAGGTGTACTCAGTGTGTGTTCCATCCAACGCCAGCATCTTTTCCTCACCTCTTGCTCCACTGGAACTTGTTTAGTTCTTCGCCAAGCTCAACATTAGTGATTCTGTCATACCATTTAATTCCTCTATGCAGCTGCTGATTCTAAGTCCCGAACAAAATCCTGCAGGCAACAAAATTTATCACCTGTACCCAGTTTTGTAATTATTTTTGTTTATAATAGTCAAAGTTGTTAAGTAATTCATACTGAGTTTTTCTAGGCAATTATGATTTCATGAAAAAAATTATTTTATGGCAAACATTTTTCTTAAATGAAAATGTTGACGTATAATTTTCTAGAGCAGGTTAGAGGATGCCATGTAAATGCAGAAGATTTTCCTCTGTAATCTTGCTCTTGACATTCTCAGCAAGATTATTATAGAAACTGTCTTTTAACCCTTTGGAGGCAGATAACAGGATTTCAGTTCTACTTACTTTAGATATAATAAAGTGGGGAGATCCCATTAGGGTATTGTAGTGTGATCTTTCTTTGATAAGCTGTAAACTGTATTATTCTAAGGTTAATCCAGGCATTGTTGGAAAGTCACCAACTTGACCTATGTGCATCCTACTGTGTTCAGCCAGAGGTTGTGGAAAGAGATATTACTTATGTCTGAAAGTATTATTTTACATTTTGATGATGCAAATATATGAAATACAGTCCACCTCCTTTCAGTCCTGCAGGCAAAGAGTTGTCCCACTAGGAGGCATTTGATAGTGCCACTGGTGACTAAATAGTCTGATGCACAAGTGACAGTCTCTATCCCAGTTTCTGCATCTTGTGAGATGAGGCAGGTCATGCAGCAAGTGACTGCATTTCATAATTGCGATGGTTTTTCTATATGTAGTAAATTCACAATAAAAAACATAAACTCAGTGTGTTTGAAGGCTCAGATGGTAGGAACACATTCAGGGGATCAAGGGGATAGTACAGTCCCTCATGACTTCCTCTACGGTGAATTAGAGGTGGATTGAAGACATCTGGGTTGGCCTAAAGGTGTGTCCAAGTGGGACATAAATGTTCTAGGTATTGAAGTGGATTCATGGGAACAGGATGCTGTGGACTGTATTGCATAGAAGTTGCAAATTAGAAGGAAATATGGGCAAAGGAGAAAATGATTAAAAACAGGTTGAGGGCTAACCTTCGGACGAGAAAACATGTGAGATACATGTGATGGCAACTGTCTTGAAATCTCACGCACCTGTTGTGACAGATTCCTGTAAACCTGAGCTGGTTTTGCTGTTGCCTTGGGTGTGATTCCCATGTCTCACTGTAGCAGAGCGAAACACTGTTTTCTGGAAAGATGGAAAGGTACCGACAAAGTATTGTATATGAAAGCCATTCTAAAATCAATTTTTTGTTGTGTGTTGAAAAATAAAATTGTCAAAGGGCACTGAACATTACAGGAGACTGTGCAGTTCAAGCAGGGTAATAATTAAAGATTTAGTCGGGGTCCATGTAATTGACAGAAAAAATATTGTATTTGAGCTTTCCGGAACCTTTTTTTTTTTACCAACCCTTCCCACTTTTTATTCTTTAGGAGTGAGTCTGCCTGTTGCAACATATGAGAAATATCAGCTAGGTCCACCATTCGATGGCTCATATGCTGTGGAGAAGGATCCTGAAAATCCCTTCTGCTGCTTGCGCCACGCTAATGAGATTCTAGCATTTTGTTGTGAAAATGCCCGTTGTCGTGCCTTTTGTGACATACATAAAATGGTAACATTGCAAACTGTTAAAGGGAACTGTTATATATACATTTTGTCATCCTCTTTTTTATTAGTTGGGTCACAGATCCTTTACAGAGCCTCGCTGACTATCTCCACCTGTCTGAACAGTTCGATGCCCATACCTTTCCCAAAATAGACACAATGTTGTCTGCTGCTGAATTGCCTGCAGCTGACTTTAAGCCTTGGCATTATAAGAATTATGAAGTTGTGTTCATAAGCCACATACAGTGACTTTAATTTTGTTGTTGTTGTTTTGTTTAGTTAGGCTCCCCATGTGTGTTCCAAAGCCCATTTGGAAGTGGGGGAGGGGAAGCGCACGAAATGTACAGATCCACTACATCCTTTAACAAGCAAGCATGTCACAGAAGGCAACTAATTAAGCGTTTGTTGAAATTGGATCCTGAAAGGCACAGTTATCACAACCTTTTTGTAAACCAGAACACTGTGTGCCATCTTGCCCTTGTAAAAGTGAACACATAAAAGCACCCAAGCCCAACAAAGAATAAAGTGAAGTGTAGCACTTAATCAGAATACAAGACTGATATTTTTTTAGTAGTTTTGTTTAACTCTTTCAGTCACAGACAGTTGTTACTTGATCTAATTCTATCAAGATAGGTTGTCACTTTAAACTGGTAAAACAGTGTATCTGAGTCACTTGCCACTTTAAACTAGTAATTATTATTTTATATATATATATATATATATATATATATATATATATATATATATATATATATATATATATATATATATATATATATATATATATATATATATATATATATATATATATATATATATATATATATATATATATATATATATATAATATCTGAATCAATTGTTTGTTGAATGTTGCATTAGGAATCAACATCATAGCACTCTGGACACTCCCATAAGCCCTCCATCCCCAATCTTCAGCACCAAGCGCAGAGTTCCAATTCGGATGGTAACAGTCTGATTGTTTATCCATTTGGTTTTTCTGATGAGTGATGAGATTCATTTGTCATTTTAAACTAGTAAATATTGTATTCCTCTGAGTCACTTTATACTAGTAAATATTGTGCACTCCTTTGAACGGCAACCCTAGGGGATGCAATTTATTGTAAGTTAACATTACTGTAAATGCTGAACCTAGGGAATGTAATCCATTGTTTATATAAGTTCACATTGGAATAATATTCTTTCCTATTTAATATTGTATGAGGTTAGAATTAGAGTTAGGGCTAAGCCTAATCCACACACTAACTCTAACGTGAAGCAGTATTAAATATTACAGAACAATATTATGTCAACGTACACATACAGCGGCAAACTACAGAATGTAAAAATGCTTAGTAAATTCACAACCATCCAAGAAATGCTGGAGGTTGTTTCTGTGACATCCTGTAAAGGACTCGCAACTATCAATTTGTTTCAGTGACATAACAGTAAAAATAACAAGGAAGGCAATACTTGGTAAGTGTTAAACAAAATTCAATATTTTGTATAATGAGTCCATGAGTGAGCAGCTATCTCGTGTTTGAGATCATAGAAAACAGTATTCAGACAAACATAAACATTTTACCAATTCCGTTGAAACAAATGTCACTGTTCTGTCGACATATTTTACTTTTAATTGTTTTACTTATTTTATATATTACTAGGTGGGAGCATCATCATTTGAAGTTCTGAGAAAGCTTCTGAAAGATATACTTTACTTTGCTTTGAATAGTGGATCAGTAATAAGCAGCCAGAAACTCTTGAAAAGAAAGAAAATGATGTATAGCTTATATGAATTTATGCAGCGAAAGGTAAGCACAAACCTGTTTTAAAGAGGTGACATAAATAAAATATTATATTGTGGTAACTGGCAGGGAAAAGATAGCAGTATATTGGACACACAGGGTAGCGCTGGCAGAAACAGATGTATTGAGGCAGTGTGGATGTCCCAGAAAAACCCTACAGTAAACATTGAACTGGGTTTGACATACAATATCAAAAGTATTGTGTGGAACAGATGGATTGGAGAAATCAGCTGCAAGCCCTGTCTGATGTATCAATGATAAAATGATGATGTATGCATATGAAAAGGTTACGGTAATCCCAGTGCAGATAGAATAATACGAACTGATGAGTTAGGCCTTCATATGTATTCAGTCACAATCTAATGATGAAGAATGACTGGCTTGCCTTAATCACTGCATTCAATTCCCAGAAAACTGATTCCACTCTAGAACTCATCTGCGTTGATCACTGAACTGAAGTTGAGAGTAAAATACCAGTGCTGCCACTAGTGGGGGTTTGAATATTGAGCCAAAAAAAAAAAAAAAAAATTTTTTTCAAAGGAAACCCCCTAAATGCTATTTTTAATCAGTTTGGTCATCCATTGCTATGCTGGACACTTGGGCAGATGCAATGAATTCTTTCAGCTAGACATCTCATAAACATGTTTTTATAGCAAATTGGAACAGCAGCTTTTATGTGGAAATGGTAGCAATGGGAAGTGTAAGTTTTGAGACTGCTTGGGTCAGAAGGGTTCAAAACTATGACAAGAACCAGTGGGAATTCCCAAAATAACCACTTGACACAGGTCAGTAATATATTTGAAAGAATTTATTTATCTACATTAGAAAAAAGATTTTACGAAATATATTAAAAGAGTAATCAATATACATGAACGGAAGGAATCATTAAATGGAACCATAGGGCCTAAAAATTATATTGAGTGACGCGTGCCATGACCCATAAAAATCGTAACATTCAGGCCAGGTGAAAGTTTAATCCGGTTGCAACTGTCACAGTCAGTATGGGAGCTCTTCACTGGATGTCGATGAAGGGGATGAGCACATGTAGGAATGTCCTGAGTTTAGGGGTGTCAGTTCCTGATTCATTCGTTCATTCAAATGTGAATTGAAGAACTGGTTTAGTATGAAGAAAGTTCAGTCAATTGCTATTAAGTCAGTAGCTGAAAACATAAAGAGTCCCAGTTAATTTATATAAATCTGTTCACTAATAGGGATTTGTAACCACCCTGCTGATAGATAAATAAATGTACTAGCAATTGCACTGTCACTGCTCTAATCTATTTAATTACTCCATAAAAGATGACATGGCAAAAAAGATACTGGAGCGTACGGTCAGATATTGTCAAATAATCTTAAAAGAGAGCATAACTGGTCGTTACAAATTTGTTTCTAGTTTCTGAAAACTTGATAACCAGATTGTGTCTAGTCCCACTGGTAACATCATGGAGGAAATGCTGTTTGTGCCTTGAAAATCTAGAGCAACATACCACTGGAAGTGTAGTCCTAGCTCCTAAGTGCAGGTTCATTGAGCTGAAAGATCTTGCTGGGGGGCTTTCAGCAAGAGTGAAAGGAAAGATCACGGCATAATAAAAGGAGTTTTTTTTTTTTTTTCAATGTACAACTTTAAGCATGAGGATAGAGGTGGAGACAATCCCTGCAGCTCTGAAGTGGGAAGCAGAAAATAGAGGCACCAGAGGAATGATAATGTTTGAATCTCAGTATTGCGGAGGGTTAAAAATGGACAAATGTGGCATGAATGGATATCAGGCATGAGCACATCAGCCTTATAGGGACTCATGTGAATTTACTGTTTAGGATCTGCACGAGTGTGAGGGAATGGAAGAGGGGATATTTTGGCTGCAGAAGCGATAGTTACAGAAGCACATACTGGACAGATGGGTCACTCTGAAGACCATTTACGAATGAATGCTGATAGACGACGCACGGTTAAATTAAGTAACGTGTGAGAATGTATGTATTTGGCATGTGAACTTGGCATTAGGAGTGGATCCAGCAAAAAGGCATGCATGAGAAGAAGAAATAATGTGTGGATAATCAGTGTGCTACAGAAACACTTGGCTTCTGCACCTTAAGAATGAGCTGTGGAAGACGTAGCATCTGTGGGTGTAACTGGTGTGCTATGATGTTGATTCTTAATTCAGTAATCAATAATCTTGACCAGAATGCACTCACTGGATGATTAGTTTCACCCTAGCTGTCTAGCCTCCTAGAGAATTGTTGGGAGGTCATATAGTCACAGAAGTAGCATTGTGCCTTTCAGTCATCTATATAACTAGTACTGTTACTTTAGCATGCACATGACGAGATACAGGAAGTATACACAGGCAGTAAATTGTACAGTCTGTTTTCTGTGTCTTTTTTGTTGAAATATAGTCATCTGTTCTATGTGAAATAAACCACTTGTTTTCTCATATTATTAATCAGATTGTTGTTGTTTTAGGCAGATTTGTATGAGGATGAAAAGTTCAAAACCAGTTCATATGTTGAATATGATGGCACATATTGCAATCAGCTGTTAACTTCAATACTGACACTTGTAGAATTCATTCTGGACATCACAGTCAATATTAGGAAAGATGGGAGGGCACAGTACATCAAGAAAAAAGAGCGTTTGTATGGCCGAATTGAGCAACAATCACCAAGATGTTTATTCTGTGCCAAGTTCCTGCGGCCCGGTGTTTCAACTAACGACAAAGGATGTTATGACGTATGTTTTTTTTTTTTTTTTAGATGTTCGTTTTGTTACTTTGACACTACAGATGAAGTCAGAATACCTCAAGCAAACTATAGACATTTAAGAGGTGTTTTATAACTTCTAATGGTGGGTAAGAGGTACAGTGTCTGCCTCTTCTTCTTCTACCCTGTCTCCCTCATTGGAGCATTGGCCCCTAAATAAAATAATGACAAGTCACCATATCTGTTGCTATTATTGGAAGCTGCCTCCTTATATTATTTATTTTGTGCAGTTTACTTTTCTGTGTTTTTGAATCATCCTTTATTGCTTTGCCGTGTAGTTTCCACTACAAGGACAAGTTATATTATCAGATTGCCTCGATGTGTATCCCATCCTGTGCGTGCCTTGTCCTTGATTCATTTGAATTTGTTTAGTTCCTTCCCTAAGCTCCATATTTGTGGGACTTTCTTTACTGCCTGAATTTACCATTTTTTAAGATTTGGGGATTTGTGGGTGGGGGGGGGGGGGGGGGTGTCTTGCATGTGTCTAGTGCGGTTGCCTTAGTCTGTGCAGGTTAGAATATTATTTTTGCCCACATCAGAAAAAATATCCATCACCTTGCCAAGGATTCTTCTTCTTAGCGATCACTGGATGTAAACTCTGATGGACAGTTCTTGTTGTTCGTCCACTTCTGGACTTGTCTTATTACAGAACTTGAATTTTGAGTACACATCCATTTTACAGTTCTGGTCTAATTGTATGCAGACTGTTGTTCCATGCAGATAGTGCTGACTTTGGAGGGAAAATGCTGAATTAGTCACTCTTTACAGCATACTTGTTGGTTGTAGAACCGTAGGTCTATTTCTTCATCCCCACCACCACTCCATATTCCCCCAAAATGGGCCCCCTCAACCGATTTGGGGAACCAAGAATTTAACACTGGATCTCCTGAATGAGAGCAATTGTTCTTAACTGATTGGTCAGCTGTTGAATTATTTAAATGCTTCTGTTCCATGAAGCAGTACTACAATGACTCTCTGTTCTCTTCTATCTGGCTCTAGTCACTGCACGCTTCATTCACTGACCGACAACACACGAGAAAAAATGGACGCTGGCGAACGATACAAATTATACCGCCGTTTATTTGTTCACTCGCTGGTACTGCAGCCAGTAAATGTTATGGTACAACACAGTCGCTCATATCTATCCTCACTCACCGAAAATGTCAACTATACCTTACAATAAACATTCCATTGCCACAGCAATTGAAAGATAATGACGAGTCCATCAGATCAAAACACACACATACTCAGCTGGCTACGGCACTTCCGTCAGCTGTTACTGATGGCCAGGTAGGCGTTGGAAACCACTCTGCAGACATCTTGGACTTGAACACTTTTTCTGGATCCCGCAGACACTCCTTTATACTTCATGTATTCATTTCCTAGGCCTAAACGAGACTCCCCACCAGCCCTTTCTAAGGCATTATATAACCTTCTAATGGCCTCCTCATGATTCTGAATTCTCTGTGTTCTCTGATTTACACAAATTCCATTTGGCCAACAGTTTCTATGTGATCCCCGTGAATTTCATTTGGCCAGCAATTCTTTGTGATTCACATGAAGTTCGTCTGGTCAGCATTTTCTCTGTTATTCTCGTGTTGTCCTAATTACACCCAAAGATTCCATTCACATTTATTAGCTGACGTCATTCTGTCTGGGACATAATTTATCTAGGAGAAAATGGGTTCACTTACTACAAGTACCAACTTCCTGTTAGAGTTAAATATTATAAATTTCTTCTTAGTGTTTACCGTAAACTGTGGTGGAAAGGTCTAGCTTTTTCTCCACTGTTGGACTTTGGTTTTTTTGTGTATGTGTGTGTGTGTGTGTGTTTTTTTTCTTCTAAAACTTGAGTTTTGTGTGCACATCCATTTTACAGATCCGGCTTATTTGTATGTAGACTGTTGGTTCTTCAGCTCTCAGACAGACGCATTCTGACTTTGAAGGAAACACCCTAATGGGGGGGGGGGGGGGGGGAGTTTCTGTTCTGTTCTTTTTGCCCCCTTACAAAATGAGACCCTGTAACTCACACACGGAGTTATAAACAAAATGTCTTACCTCTACAGATTTTCTAGTTCTATGAAGTCTCATTTTGCTTTTTAAATTCCCTATCTTTGCATTGCTGCCTAAACAGATGTTAGTTAGCTAATTGACAGATTTGTCATCATTGCCCATCGGATAAGTCCATATGCACTCAGATCCCATCTTTAGCATGTGGCAACTGATTGCCTAAACAGATGTATGATCCCTAACCTTGAAGTGAAGTTTAAATCGGTCATTTTGCATTATCATTTGCTTCATTTATTTTTATTATCCTTGTTTTTTTTTTGTTTTTTTTTTCTATGTAGATTATGGATCTAAGTGTGCCTTCCATCAAATGTTCAGTTTATTCTTCATCTGATTTTAAGTGTGGGACAGGAAAGTATCAAACTCTAACCCAGGTAAACTGGATACCAGTTGCTGGGAGCTTTTACAGGATATGAAGTAAACTGTCCTGATCATCCTGATGTAGTGAACAAACTGTCTAGCCTTCTCAGACATGTATAGAATCAAGAAGACCTGTGCGTGTTGTACAAGTTAAAAAAAAAAAAAACTGAATCAGCCAGTTAGCTGTTGCTGCTTTTTTTGTCTTCCGTTTCTCCTTTTCAACTAGTTATGATGTTTTCTTTGTGATTTGGCCCTTACTTTAACTGGTGTCTGTGCAGAAAAAAGGACAAAATACAAGCCGAGATATCCCAGTCAGGCTGCAAAAAGTTATAATTAGTGCACAGGTAATGTCCAGACTAGCCCAGCCCGGTGAAATCTGCATTCCTGTGCCGCTAGGGATGGGGCATGACAGGGTTCTTTACTTACTATTTATACCTAGGTTCCTAAGAGGAATTTTTTATTTTATTTGAAAAAGAATCTTTTAGGAGTTGGGAAATTGTTACTTCTTGATCTGTTCTTTAATTTTCTCTGTGTGTTTACACATGTGTTTCATTTCAGTTAGAGAGACTGGTGAGGTTCTTTAAGACTGAATCAGTAGCTGTTGCACAAAAAGAAATAAACATAGAAATGACCTACAAGTATACTGTGCAAAGATTCTGCGCCACCATAGTAAGCAATGCCATGAAAGAAGTTAGTGTGGAATTGGATGATCCGCCATTGGTGTTAGCCTGCAAAGTGAGCAGGGCAATGATTTGCAAACAGCTCGATAAGATGCTGCCAAAGATCACAAGCTTCAAAGATATGACAGCTGATGAGCTGAGGTAATGAAAATGTGTATTGTGTATTTTCATATAATTTTCTAAGAAGAAAGGTTGTAGTAGATCACATGGTAAGGTTTACCTCACTGCATGTGGGAAGATGCATGGCCAGAGATGATATCAACACTTTACAGACAAAGCTGGCAGATAATAGCAAATTTCTGATGCCAGCACAGTTATGTGACCTAGAAGTGAAGCCTGGTAAAGCATAAGAGATAAGAGACATTGTAACTAACGTCTCATTAAAAATTAGTAGAAGTACCTTTTGGTGGATTCAACATTTGAGGCCTGCACACACATGGGAATGATCAGTGTACAGTGACATCGATTGTGATAATATAACAAGTAAGATTTTGCAATGTCAAGTTTAAAATATTTAAATACTGTCTTTCACTGCTGTCTGAATGACGTGTTAGAAGCTGTAGTAAAATACTGTTGAATGATTTCATCAAAAAACAAAAGGTATAGGACCCTTTTCGTGTTATTGTCATATTCGGCATAAGGTACTAGGACTATACATAATTTCCTCGACTTACGACTGAGTTTTGTTCTAACAGGTCATAAGTTGAACAGGTCATAAATCAAATATTTTTCAACACAATTTTTATTCATATGTATTTAAAATATTACTTAAAACCCTAAAAAAATGTAAAAAATACATAACATGTAATCTGTTGCATCAGTTCCTGGAACTTTTTGACCATACCATTGTTGTTATCTTTCTTTATTTAAAATTGTATGTGTGGGTCTGTGGTCCTAATGTTATCTTATGTTATCACAATCAACACCTTTGCCCATTGGGCATCCCAGTGTTCAGTCCTCTGATGCAGCAGCCATTCCAAGGTATACCTCTACATGTTGTGGTCATGAGTGTGTGTGGTCGTAAGTTGCATAGGTTGTAAGTCAAGAAGAAGGTAGGTTTGTGTATACAAAAGTAGCTGATGGTGGGCGATGTGGTCAGATTGAATACCTGCTGTCCTTAATTCCCATGATATTTCTTGTTACCCGTTTTAGGCTGCAAGTGGGTTCTGGGGCCTCATTTTGGGGGAAAGACAATAGACCAACTGTTCTGGCACAAGCATACTGGCAACTAATTAAGAGTTTGCTGGATTTAGATGTGTTTTGCTGCTAAAAGGAACAGATATCACAGCCTAGCTGTAAACAACAACACAAAATAAAATGCCAGCCACCCTTTTAAGGATGAATGCAAAAGAAGAAGAAGAAGAACCATTCAGCAGTGTATCTTTTTGGTGTATACAGTGTAACAGTTATTTAAGGTGCTGTATAAAAAACATAACTGGTGCCTTTTTTGTTATTGCAGACGAGTGGGATCGAGAAGGGAGAGAATTCAAGCTCGAAATGACCCTACAGCTGGAGGAAATAAGATTGAAACTGCAGCAGACAAAAGAAGGAAAAATATTATTTCTGTGAGTAATTTCATATTACATATCTGCACCTTCCCCGTGTGGGTTCCGGGGCTCTGTTGTAGGGAAAACAAAAATAGACCCACTGCCTACCCAAAAGCATGTCATAAGAGTCAACTAATTGAAAGCTTGCTTCGAAGTCGGAGTGCATCTGCCTGAGAGGCAAGGAACCAGCAGTCTGAATACAAATGAGTCAGATCTGTAAAACAGATTCACAGGCAACACTCAAGTCCTGAAACAGGACTACAGTCCAGAAGTGGATGAACAACCAGAACTTTCCGCCAGAGTTTACAGCTGGGTAAACGCAAAGAAGAAGAAGAATATGTGCACCTCTGATTTTATCTAGCATGAACTCTTTCAGTTAAGTCCTCAGCTAATATATTCTGTCTGCTTTATGCCTTTTATGCCTGTACTATGTGACTGTGGCCTGCAGGTTAATGAAATCATTCAGAAAGGAGTAATGATGTGCAGTACAAAACTCTTTATGTCTATTAGCATAAAGTTCAACAAGGCTGTATCGGGAATCTAGATGCAAAAATAGGGCCTGACATTTCAATGCCTCCTCTCACATCAGGGGGAACATCTTGAGTTCATCCCTGTCAAAAGAGTTCAGGCAGAAATACAATGTCAGAAGTATGCCCATCAGAAAGGACGATGAAGTTCCCGTTGTTCGTGGACACTACAAGGGACAGCAGACAGGAAAGGTCACTCAAGTTTACAGAAAGAAATGCATAGTCTACATTGAATGAATTCAGCATGAGAAGGCCAACGGTGCAACTGTCCATGTTGGTATCCATCCTTTAAAGGTTATCATTGTTAAGCTGAAACTGGACAAGGATCACAAGAAGATTCTGGAAAGAAAAGCCATGAGCTCTGACAGAGAAGGGCAAGTACACAGAGGAGACCATGGAAAGCTGATTGCATTCTCTTTAATAAGGTGTTTGAAACTGGAGGAAAAAAATTGAATGTCCATTAACCTCTCTTTCTCAAGCCTACCTCACTACACATGGTGGACCTTGTTCTTTCCAGCATTCCAGTGGGTCTCAACCCCCAGTCAGTTATCACTAGTTATCACTGTCATGCTTTTTCTTTTTTTAATAAGTGGACTCCAGATTTTCTTACCTTTAACATTCTGTCCCATCCACATACGACCACAGGCTACTATGCAATTGTCTGGTGCCCTGTTATACCATTGAGGGATGACCAGGATTTGCTCCTGTTGGATGCTCATCAGGCGACAGTGGATGTTGATCTTTCAGAATGCACAGTGCTCGAAAAGAGGGAGGAGGGGTGATTTTTATTCTTGCATTTGCTCAGAGCTTACTTTAAAAAAATCTGACTGTGCTAGAACTATATTTTGCCCCTTTGAAAGTTTTGCACTTTAAAAAAATAAAAAAATTTAGTGGTTCTTCCCCCCCCCCCCCCCCCCCCCCCTCTTTCTACTGGAACCAAGAAAGTTAATCCACTTTGTCTTCAGTGCTGACCTAGTCAAGATAGTTGATAGTTGAAATCAAGTTCTTGATTAAAAGAAGAAAAAAAAACAGGTGTTAATTTTTGTTCTTCTTTTTAAGTAGCGTACGTTTAAAGCTTAAAGTGTAGTTTTCAAATGTTACTATATTTTAATAAAAAATCAGTTTAAGATACATTCATATTCTTCAACATTGTTCAAGCGATTTTAAATACTACAACTGTATGCAAGATGAAAGGGTATTTGAAAAATCTGTTTAAAAGATAGTTTAAAATAGTCTATGTAAAAAATTTAGATAGTATTTAGTAAAATTTTCGTAATAATGTTTAAGTAATCACTTATGAATCTAATTATCAAAATCACACTTACACTAAGCTAGTGGATTCTTTTTTCCAATAGACATAAAGAAACATCTGCCCATCAAGTATTTAATATTTAATATTCTGCTAATTTTTTTGTTTTGTTTTACAGAGTTTGCAGGATCAGTTAGGAACAAAATGGAGGGCTGGATTAAAAGAGAACGAACTTGATTATTGTTCAAAGCTCTTGGCCCAGATTCTGGTACATGAAAAAATCATGGGCTTTTCTGTGTACAATGGCTTTCTCCTGAAAGAACACGAGGAAATCCTGGCTAGTAACCGCCTTCGTTTAATTGAGATTGAGAGAAAAGCTCAGGGAATTATAAAGAAAATTGTTCGGTATGTGAATATTATTGTTAAAATCATCTGGCTGGTTGTCAATGTTGTCTTGTCAATAACAGTTTTATAAATTCATTTATAATTGATATAGTTCTTTGATAGTACTCTAATTCTTTTTGTTTCACAGCCTGTTATTTCCATAAGACCGTTTTCAAAATAACTACTCATAATTTATATGGACATTTACAACAGACCAACACATTTATGGAGGCTTCAGAGATGTGGTTTTTCAGAAGAATGCTTACTATTCCTTGGACAGCCAAAAGTGATGTTTCAGAAGAGACCCAGATCTAAAGACAGTTTATCACAAACATTAGAGGCAGTTGACATTATTTTGCCCAATAAAAAGAAGATAAAAACTTAAATATCTTGTGACAAGTGGAAGATTTATGAAAAGAGATGTAGAGGAAGACAGGAGATGATATCTGACAGCCGTCTCTACAGACATGGAAACATGAAAGCAAGCATACTGATACATACTGTTAGGGATTACAAGATATGGAGGAGCATGATCGCCCATGCCAGTCAGAGGGTACCAAACAGGACATTATATCATGTGATCTAGTGGTACCAAACTTAGAGTTAAAATGTTCTTTGTGAAGAAGTAATCAAAGTCTCAACCAGTTGATAAATGTCATTTTACTCACCTCTAAGAGCACATCTTGACGTGAGCAGGTCTTTCTGGTGAAACTTGCCATCTTCATGAGCTGTGATCTGTGCAGGATGTGGTGGATGATCTACAGATGGGTGTATTAGATGTGGAACATTTTGCTTGTGATCGAGAAGTTTTCCAGAGGGTTGTTATGGGAGCAAGATTCTGCAAAGGTCATGCTGCTGACTGACTGACTGAGCTTGTTAAGGTGCAGCCCTTGAAGATAGAATAGTTGCATATTACATTTAAATTACTTGTGAGTAAAAAACTACATTGCAACTTTACACCAGCTGTTTTTTTTTTCTCTTAACATGTTTTATTCATGATTGATGTACCAATAATCCCCCCCCCCCTTCCCCAAATGATTTATCTCCACTTGTAGTTGACTTGTTATGTTGTGAAGCTTCAGTATATATGTTGTGTTCTGTTATATTAGATTTAAAAAAAAAAAGTTTATAGTTTAGCAGCAACCTGTTTTAGCCGAATGCCATTTGTATTGATAAAATAAGAACTCTGCATAAATATCTGTTTGCTGTCTGCCTGTATAACTTGACTGTAGCTTGCAGTTTAATTAAATCATTTCAGAATCCAATCCTTGATGTACTAGGATTCAATTTCAGGGGTGGGCATTTTGAAACACTTTCAGAGAGTTTGGGCCTCCCTACATGATATATCCCAGACAACAGTCACTGATGCACTGCAGCCAACCTCCATTGTTGAGACGACGCAGTGGAAAAAGTGATATTTCCATATTTGTTTTCAGGCTCATTGTTGTGCCCGGCCTGAGGATAGCACTGAAAGATAGCGATGATGTGGATGTGCTGTTCTGCAGCCCAGATGTGGAAGTGAGCTATCTGCAAGAATCCATTAGTGTTATGCAGTTCAATTCTGAAGTGACTTTTCTCAAGACCTGCTGTTACTACATTGATGACATAGTAAATGCAAAGGTAATGTATATATCGTTTCCTTTTATTTAATGAAATAATGAAAACTACAGCTGCTTCAGCCAGATTATGTAGCTAGTATTGTGTGTGTAGGTGCATGCATGCGTGTGTGTGGTTTTTATGTGTGTGTGTGTGTGTTAATAATGAAGAATACAATGTTTTTTTAATCGCTGATCTTCTCAAGAGTAATGAATCGTAAAAATGTGATAAAGGTGTCTTTAAAAAAATTGACCAACATAGAGAACTGATTACCCATAGAAGGAGACGGCCTACATTCTTTGGTCGTGTTTTAAGGAGAGGACGCAGGAGTACATTGTAATGATGAGAAAGTTGGAGGGGAAAAGAGACAGAGAGAAAATTCTGGACATGGAAGATCATCTGTAGAGAAAATTCTGGACATGGAAGATCATCTGTGCCGGAATTTATTAGAAGTACATGAGACAGAAGGCTGTGGATAGATGTGACAATCAACACCACATGGCATGGACTTTAAGAAGCAGAATATTCTTGGATATATTTCCAAATAAATGATTTGAAAAGGGCCATAGTTGTACAGCAGCTAGAAGCTTGCCTGCCAGCCTGATGATGGCTGTTTGAAATCTTCTTCTCCCTTGTGTTGACTGGCTGCAAACTCCAGCAGAAAGTCCTAGTTATTCCTTTACTCCTGGACTTTGGTCTGGATCCAGAACTTGAGTTTTGCATGCACATTCTTTGTACAGACTCGGCTTATTTATATGCAGACTGTTGGTTCCTTGCCTCTCAGGCAAACGCAGTACCCCTAATTATTTGCCTTCTATGACATGCTTGTTGGGGAGAGGGGGGCAGTGGGTCTGTTCTTTGTTCTGCAAAATGGAGCCCCAGAACCCAAACAAGGAGATAGAAATTCACCACCTGACCATTTATGAAACTGATTAATAAATTCATAAATCAGGACTCCTCATTTGAGTTCTGGGGCCACAAATTGGGAACATGGAGGGATAATAGATCCACTGCCCTCCTAATCTGGGGTTTGCTGAAATTGGCTGTGTTAAGCTCAAGGCACACATATCACAACATATCACAGCCAAACTGTGGCAGAAGAAGATATACCTGGACACCTTGAAGTAATTATGTGTGGAACAGCATAAGCAAAGGCAACATTCTCCATGTCACAACAGAGTTATAAATAGTTTTAAAAACTATTAAATTCCTGAACACATAAAAATGATGGTAAATAATAGACATTTAAAACAATGAACATTTTACAAAATGAAATAACATCCCAAGGGAATACAGTAAAATCATTGCTGTCCTAATATTTCATCAAGATTTATGTAAAGAGGAGAACATGCCAAGTGGCAGGATATCTTGCTAGCAAGTCCAACAGTCTATGCACAGTTGTGAATATCATGTAAATATATCAGTATGAATATCATGAAAATATACCGATCCAAATAAAAATGTGAACTAGTTAGCTTCAGATAATCACAATCATGAATGACACAATGTACTTTGCATCTTTTAAAAAAAACGTCATCAGCATACGCCACAACTGGACGATTATACAATTGCAAACAGGAATCATTTATCTTTATGGTGATATTTGTCACAAATAACTGGACGATTATACAATTGCAAACAGGAATCATTTATCTTTATGGTGATTTTTGTCACAAATCTCCATAATAAGCTTGAACAGTAGAAACCCTATCATTGCTGGATAAGGGTACTGGACAGGAAGTGATCCATAAAATTGAGGGGGGGGGGGGGGGGGGGCATTGGGGAAACAACAGATAGAAGAGAGATTTTAACAAGGGATGCCACTCAAAAATGTTTAGTTTAAACTGTTGGACATTAAGGTCTTTAGGAGAGAGAAAGATGGACAGACACACACAAATTATAGATGTATAAGTGGTATCTACAAATATTTTTAGGTCACTTAGGTGTGAGAACCCAGGTCTCTCTCACAGTGTGACTATTGTAACTCAGAGCGAGGCCTCGGGTCTCTCTTACAGTGTGACTATTGTACCACTAAGTGAGGCCCCAGGTCTCTCTCACAGTGTGACTATTGTAACTCAGAGTGAGGCCCTAGGTCTCTCTCACAGTGTGACTATTGTACCTCTGAGTGAGGCCCCAGGTCTCTCTCACAGTGTGACTATTGTACCCCTGAGGCCACAGATCTCTCTCACAGTGTGACTATTGTACCACTTAGGCCCCAGGTCTCTCTCACAGTGTGACTATTGTACCACTGAGTGAGGCCCCAGATATCTCTCACAGTGTGACTTTTGTACCCCTGAGTGAGGCCCCAGGTCTCTTTCACAGTGTGACTATTGTACCACTGAGTGAGGCCCTAGGTCTCTCTCACAGTGTGACTATTGTACCACTGAGTGAGGCCCCAGATCTCTCTCACAGTGTGACTATTGTACCACTGATTGAGGCCCCAGATCTCTCTCACAGTGTGACTATTGTACCACTGATTGAGGTCCCAAATCTCTTTCACAGTGCGACTATTGTACCACTGATTGAGGTCCCAGGTCTCTCTCACAGTGTGACTATTGTACCACTGATTGAGGACCCAGGTCTCTCTCACAGTGTGACTATTGTACCACTGATTGAGGTCCCAAATCTCTTTCACAGTGCGACTATTGTACCACTGATTGAGGTCCCAGGTCTCTCTCACAGTGTGACTATTGTACCATTGATTGAGGACCCAGGTCTCTCTCACAGTGTGACAATTGTACCATTGATTGAGGTCCCAAATCTCTCTCACAGTGTGACTATTGTACCACTGATTGAGGTCCCAAATCTCTCTCACAGTGTGACTATTGTATCACTGATTGAGGTCCCAGGTCTCTCTCACAGTGTGACTATTGTACCGCTGATTGAGGACCCAGTTCTCTCTCACAGTGTGACTATTGTACCACTGATTGAGGACCCAGGTCTCTCTCACAATGTGACTATTGTACCGCTGATTGAGGACCCAGGTCTCTCTCACAGTGTGACTATTGTACCGCTGATTGAGGTCCCAAATCTCTCTCACAATGTGACTATTGTATCACTGATTGAGGTCCCAGGTCTCTCTCACAGTGTGACTATTGTACCACTGATTGAGGTCCCAGGTCTCTCTCACAGTGTGACTATTGTACCACTGATTGAGGACCCAGGTCTCTCTCACAGTGTAATTATTGTACCACTGATTGAGGTCCCAGGTCTCTCTCACAGTGTGATTATTGTACCACTGATTGAGGTCCCAGGTCTCTCTCACAGTGTGATTATTGTACTACTGTCAAAAAGCCACCACAGGAAAATGCTTTTTTTTTTTTTAAAACTGCCCACAGCAACAATTGAACCTAGGAAAAACTGGAGGATTGCACCGTATTCTGCCAATGATTTCTTTTATTTTCATTGCCAGACTGCCCGTCCGAGATCTTCCCTCTTTAATGTGTGTCTGTCGCTCTAGCCGTCGACCGATCCTTTTTTCACGATCACATGTTTCCTAATCCATATCACTATGCACACTGTGTTGTCATTTGCTATCCGTTGTTTGTGCCACACAGAAAGCACATGTGAACCATATATTTTTGTTTTCACCTCTCATAAAATCAGATTGAAGAATTCCGGTACTTTGCAGCGTACTTGAAATCCTTTGATCCCTCTGTTAACCTTCAGGACAAACTCAAAGCAAGCATGGTAAGTTATTTTCTGCATTTCTTAGTTGAAGTTGGTTGCATATTTAACTTTTTTTAATCCCAGTCAGTTGATCATTTGACTCCCACTGTCCAAGGAACTGAGCTTACAAACAGTGATTATTTTGGACTGAAGAAGCTCAACATAGACATTGTGGAGCAGACATGGTTCAACCAAGCATTCAAATATAGTGGGTTAATTCAGTGACTGTCAGTGACAGAAGACAACAACAACATGATGTTTCTTAGGAATGACCAAGATATGAATGATACATTGTTTAGTACTAACAGAGTTTAAGGTCAATGTAAACCTCCTTCTGTTTGGTTTTACTAGGCACTTGTATGTTCAGTGATTTGCCATTGCTGTCTCAGGAGACAGGTTCAGCTATTGTCGAAATCAGTGCAAAGCAGCCTTCTGCCAAACCATATGCAGCTTAACCAATTTTGGTATTTTTTATTGATTTTCTCTGATATTCCATTGATTGTTTTTGTGGTTGGGGTGTCTTTACTTTACCTTCTGACTGGCATCTACAAAGTTGTGCATTCTTGCCAGTATTCTGTAAGACAGTATGTTTACAGTGTCTTGACATCTCAGCAATATTGGTTGGGTGAAAAATGTTCTGTTTTCACTTGAAACATTTGTCTCATGTGTTTTTGTTTGTTCTGTTGTTGGCACCTTTGCACCTTTCCAGATAATAGTGAAAAGGACAGTGGGACTGGTGCGGTCACACTGTCTCCACATACTATGAGTAACTGTTCAGTAACCAGCCCGCTTTTTTTACAAGACTGAGATCCATGTACTAAGCATGTACATGTATTAGTTTGACATTGTATTAGATTATTTATTAAGTGAAATTTCCTTTTAAAGAGTGATGAGGGAGAAATAAGCTGTTAAACAGTCTAGAGCTCTGACAGTAATATTTACTTGTGTCTTTGATAACAGTTTTCATTTTGAAAGACTCATAGCATTACCCAGCTTTAAACTCTAGCAGAAAGTCTTGACTGCTTGTCCACTTTTCGACTGGTCTCATTCCAGAACTTGATTTTTGTGTACATGTCCATTCAACAGATCTGGCTTATTTGTGTGCAGTCTGTTGGTTCAGGCAGATGCAGTCCAGCTTTAAAGAAAACCTGGATCCTACCTACATAAGCCAGGTGCCCAGTTAGGAACCTGTTTCTAGGATGAATGTAGATAGGTATTGACTAGTATAAGCCCTGGTCGTGGTGCGTCACCACATTGGGTTCAGCACCTCTGCATCCCTTCATAATAGAAAATATAGAGCTGATTCCCTTCTTTTCTGACTCTGTATCTTGTTTTACTTTATTTATGGAAATTAGCTTTTTATGTAATTTTTTTCCAGTTTGCAAGTCATTACAAACATGAAGACAAGATTGAAATACAAACTATGAACAATAATTCATCATTGATTGCAGCCCCAGTTCTCCGTTGGGGATTTAGTGCAATTAAAGGTTTAACACTGCCAAAAGAACTTGTGAGTATGTTGGTGTGTTTAAAACAGAATGAAAGTTAATAATAGTATTTCCCTGCAGCATTTATACTGAGAAAAAGAAGTCAGTGAACTCTGTTAGTTTATGTAAATATGCTGCTTGAAATATTCATAGACTAGAAATTAATGAGTCATGGACTGTTACTCATTCATTGAAGAAATACAACAGAGCTTTTGAACTGAAATACTACAAACACATTTTTAGAATACCAAGGACCAGGAAGAAGAAAAACACCAACATGCTGAGCTATGGAGAGAATGGGCTGATAAACAGCATCCTGTCCAGAGAGCTGAAGTATTTTAGCCATGTTAGGGTGTCATGGTGGCCTGGAGAGAGCAGTGGTACACTTTCCTGAAAATGAAGCAGAGGAAAACCTAGCTAAATGTGGATACAAGACATTGAAGATGCATTAGCTATGAAAAAACACATGGCTGGATGATTGGCTAGAGAAAGGGAGACTTTGAGGCATGCTATGATGAGAGCAACATTCTCTGAAGGACCTGCTGATTGGTGATGAGAAATAAATGCAATGGTTGGTTAATGGTGACTTTTATCTGTGTATAGCCTAATTCATTTCTTGGTGGTCTGTTTGACCAGTAACTCTTTTCCTCAGTGCTTAGCATAACAGCCTGGTTTTGTCATGTCATGTTTTATAAGTGTTTATCTTAAACTATCCAACCTTGTTTGTAGAAACAGCCATATTTTCTCTCATGGCTATTTGTTCAGTATCCACAGCTAACCTTTATGTTTAAAGCAGAGCTTTTCAAACTGTGTCATGACACATTTGTGTGTCAGCTGCAGTTTATTGTGTAAACTTAGAGCATTCAAAAATGTACCATTTTCACATCTGTCCATATCTCTTTTAAAGGTTTAGTGCAACTTCTTAGAAGAGCTGCTAGTCTAACAAGTAGAGATGCATTTTGAGTGAAGAAATTAGAAGAAGGCTAGACCTGGAACCAGCCATAATCAAATTGTTCTCCAGTGGATCCCGGCTCACTGCATCATACCAGGAAATAAGTTAGCAGACACACTTGAAAAAAAAAAAAAAGAACACACCCATTCATTGTCATTACCTGAAATCAAAACACTTATCAAGGGAAAATACAAGGAATTGTGGAGAGAACAAACTAACAGTAAACATCCACAAGACCCCATCAACAGGCTTAACAGAAAGCAACATACAGCAATTGTCTGTCTACAAACAGGACACTGCAGGCTCAACTACCACATGCATAAAATAAAGATTGTACAGTCCCTACAATGAGCCTGTCAAACAGGATCACAAACACCTGAGCACATTCTGCAGACCTGCCCACTCTACCTATAACTTCAAAGAGACAAATACAGTGAATTCATAGCACTGTTAAAATTAATTTGTGAGGATACGTCTTCCATTGTGCATGAAATACGCTGATGTTCTGGTGAAATTAATTTTCATGTTGTGTGTTTATTTCAGAAAATGTTTCCATATTGTGATAAACATTTCAAAGAAAAGTATCAAGCCGCAGCAGGCTCCCTTTCTGTAAGTATAAATCTTTTAGTGGTCCTCAGTTTCCAAGAAACTTTCAAGCAATGATAAACTGAATTGATAACACACAGTTTAGTCTGATTTCCAAGAAATTGTTTCTGATAGTGATACATTGTACAGATAATTATATTACAGTCCAGACTGTTACCAGATTATAACAAATGTAGAAGCAGCAAATCCTAATCAATTCATTTCATCAGTTCATTTGTCTCATTAGTACTATGGAGAGGCATATTTAAGATGTTTGTAAAACCCTTTTTCTTTTGGAAAATCTAATTTCTGTTGATGTATACAAGTGACACTTGCACATTATTTCCCAGTATTAGCCAGTCATCATTGAGCTAGGTTCACAACAGAAGCAGAACTAAGGTCGTTCATGCAAGTGATGAATAGATGGTATATCTCAGGCGGCTGTGGATATCAACATCTGCTTAGGACATACCAAGACACACAACAGATGCCTCTTCAAAACCTGATGCTGAAAGGCGGAACAGAATCTAGAGAAATAAGAAGAACCTGTAATACTAAGCTTTTTTTTTTTTTTTTAGTTTGTATTTCCTTGACATAATGGACTGAGATTAGTGTGGTCTAATGTGTAATAACCTTCATTGTACACAGCTGTTCCAGTTCCCCTCTTAGATCACACTAAACAGTTAAATGTTCGACATGGTCCATGTAGCAACAGCTACATTGTACACAGCTGTTCCAGCTCCCCTCTTAGATCACACTGAACAGTTAAATGTTCCACATGGTCCATGTAGCAACAGCTACATTGTACACAGCTGTTCCAGTTCCCCTTTTAGATCACACTGCCATGTAGCAACAGCTACATTGTACACAGCTGTTCCAGTTCCCCTCTTAGATCACACTAAACAGTTAAATGTTCGACATGGTCCATGTAGCAACAGCTACATTGTACACAGCTGTTCCAGCTCCCCTCTTAGATCACACTGAACAGTTAAATGTTCCACATGGTCCATGTAGCAACAGCTACATTGTACACAGCTGTTCCAGTTCCCCTTTTAGATCACACTGAACAGTTAAATGTTCCACATGGTCCATGTAGCAACAGCTACATTGTACACAGCTGTTCCAGTTCCCCTCTTAGATAACACTAAACAGTTAAATGTTCCACGTGGTACATGTAGCAACAGCTACATTGTACACAGCTGTTCCAGTTCCCCTCTTAGATCACACTAAACAGTTAAATGTTCCACGTGGTCCATGTAGCAACAGCTACATTGTACACAGCTGTTCCAGTTCCCCTCTTAGATCACACTAAACAGTTAAATGTTCCACATGGTCCATGTAGCAACAGCTACATTGTACACAGCTGTTCCAGTTCCCCTCTTAGATCACACTAAACAGTTAAATGTTCCACATGGTCCATGTAGCAACAGCTACATTGTACACAGCTGTTCCAGTTCCCCTCTTAGATCACACTAAACAGTTAAATGTTCCACATAGTCCATGTAGCAACATCTACATTGTACACAGCTGTTCCAGTTCCCCTCTTAGATCACACTAAACAGTTAAATGTTCCACATGGTCCATGTAGCAACAGCTACATTGTACACAGCTGTTCCAGTTCCCCTCTTAGATCACACTAAACAGTTAAATGTTCCACATGGTCCATGTAGCAACAGCTACATTGTACACAGCTGTTCCAGTTCCCCTCTTAGATCACACTAAACAGTTAAATGTTCCACATGGTCCATGTAGCAACAGCTACATTGTACACATCTGTTCCAGTTCCCCTTTTAGATCACACTAAACAGTTAAATGTTCCACATGGTCCATATAGCAACAGCTACATTGTACACAGCTGTTCCAGTTCCCCTCTTAGATCACACTAAACAGTTAAATGTTCCACATGGTGCATGTAGCAACAACTACATTGTACACAGCTGTTCCAGTTCCCCTCTTAGATCACACTAAACAGTTAAATGTTCCACATGGTCCATGTAGCAACAGCTACATTGTACACAGCTGTTCCAGTTCCCCTCTTAGATCACACTAAACAGTTAAATGTTCCACATGGTCCATGTAGCAACAGCTACATTGTACACAGCTGTTCCAGTTCCCCTCTTAGATCACACTAAACAGTTATATGTTCCACATGGTCCATGTAGCAACAGCTACATTGTACACAGCTGTTCCAGTTCCCCTCTTAGATCACACTAAACTTTTAAATGTTCCACATGGTCCATGTAGCAGCAGCTACAGTGTACACAGCTGTTCCAGTTTCCCTCTTAGATCACACTAAACAGTTAAATGGTCCATGTAGCAACAGCTACATTGTACACAGCTGTTCTAGTTTCCCTCTTAGATCACACTAAACAGTTAAATGGTCCATGTAGCAACAGCTACATTGTACACAGCTGTTCTAGTTCCCCTCTTAGATCACACTAAACAGTTAAATGTTCCACATGGTCCATGTAGCAACAGCTACATTGTACACAGCTGTTCCAGCTCCCCTCTTAGATCACACTAAACAGTTAAATGTTCCACATGGTCCATGTAGCAACAGCTACATTGTACACAGCTGTTCCAGCTCCCCTCTTAGATCACACTAAACAGTTAAATGTTCTACATGGTCCATGTAGCAACAGCTACATTGTACACAGCTGTTCCAGTTCCCCTCTTAGATCACACTAAACAGTTTAATGTTCCACATGGTCCATGTAGCAACAGCCAGGATCCAACAGTTTGTTTGTCCTAGAAGCAGACTAGCAGACATGCTTTAAATATTTTTTGTGTGTTCTGTCTGTATCCTCTTCATGTGGTTGTCAGCTTTGACACGTGAACTCCATTGCTGCTGGTCTGTTACTTTTCCATGTTTTATTAGGTCCTTCATGTCTCCTTTGTTCAGTCTGCTGTCCACTGGCAGTCCTTGCCAGTGTGTCTGAGGTGTTTTCCTGTGAACTAGTTGAGAGCTTATACTTCATGGCAGAATAAAAGTATTATAGCTTCCACAGAAAAATGAGAATGTGATTGCTCAAATAATTTCTTACATGCTTTTTTTTCTTGTCCCGTGAAATAGGAAGAGTCACCAAAGATGAAAATTGCCAGAAGTACGTATGTGTATATGTGTGAGTGTGTGTATACGCGCACACATATTTAAGTGTGTTTTAACGCATTCAGTGCTAAGCAGATATTTTGATCATATACTAATTAAAATATAAAGGTTGCCAAAAATTCACACTAAAATATTGTAGAAGTTGCCAAACATTCACAATAAAATGTTGTAATTGACAAACACTAAAATATTGTAGCAGCTGCCAGACATTCACACTTAATTATTGTAGCAGTTGCCAAACATTCACACTAAAATATTGTAGTAATTAGGGCTGTACCGAATAGTGATTTTTACTATTCTGCCGAATAGGAATAGCTGGACCAACTATTCGGCCAAACACGAATACGAATAGTGAATCATCATCATCATGTGCTTTGCCGGCTGGCATGGGCGATTATGCCTCGCCACAATCTGCGATCTCCTGCAGCACATATTAGTTCGTGTGCTGACACACCTCCATAAAAAAACCTTCGTTCCATGTTGTCAGCATTAGGCCAGCTTTTTGTCTCACTGAAGGTATTTCCAGCTGTACTAAACAGGAAAATACGACAAATACAGAGAGTCAAAATGAAAACCCGCAAGGCGAAACATCAAAAAAAAAAAATAACGCCGGCGAAGAAAACAATGTCCCCCCCCCCCCCCCCCCCCCCCCCCCGCGCGCGAGCTCACGAAACCAGACGCCAGGCGGCCAACGCCAGAAGATCAAACAACAAAGACAATAAAGAAACCGAACGTCGATCAAAACATTCAGCCGCTGCCGTTTCCACGAGACGACGAAAGAACAGATACGACACCCATAAATGATGACGAACTCCCGTTACTTCAAAGAATCAACGAAGAGGACACTCCACTCAAAGAAATCAAGCCGACAACACTAGAACGCTTGCTTTTCTGCCCCTCTTACATTTTTAAGTGTTGCATTTTGTTTCTACAGCAACACACCTAAAAACACTATACTCGCAACACTTGCAAGATGGAAATAAAGGGGCACTTGGTACGCTCGTAGGTGGTGCACAAAGATAACGCTTCACAGTATAAACCAAGGTGGGAAGTCTTGATGTTTTTTTTCCACTAGTCCAGATACGGTTGTGAGGTAACCACTATTCGTATTCGGCCCGACCGCAACTATTGGGCCGAATAGTTATTGGGTCCACTATTTGGCCCTGAAGCGAATACGAAGCGAATATTCGGTACAGCCCTAGTAGTAATTGCTAAACATTGACACTAAAATATTGTCATTAATAAACTTGCACTACAATATAGTAGTTGTTGCCAGACATTCACATTAAAATATAGTAGCAGTTGCTAGGCATTCACACTAAAATATAGCAGCAGCTGCCAGACATTCACACCAAATTATTGTAGCAGTTACCAAACATTCACACTAAAATATTATAGCAGTTGCTGGACATTTACACTAAAATATTGTAGTAGTTGCCAAACATTCACACTAACATATTGTAGCAGTTGCCAAACATTCACACTAAAATATTGTAGCAGTTGCCAGACATTCTTACTAAAATATTGTAGCAGTTACCAAACATTCACACTCAATTATAGTAGCAGTTACAAACATTCACACTAAAATATTATAGCTGTTACCAGACATTCACACTAAAATATTGTAGCAGTTACCAGACATTCACACTAAATTATAGTAGCAGTTACCAGACATTCACACTAACATATTGTAGCAGTTACCAGACATTCACACTAAATTATAGTAGCAGTTACCAGACATTCACACTAAAATATAGTAGCAGCTGCCAGACATTCACACTGGCTCGTGCAGTAAAAATGACACAAGGAAACATATACAATAAATAGCTGTTAAGTGCATTCAAAAAAATTATTGTCATTTTGAATTATAAAACAGCTCAGAATACTATAAATTTAGCAGATAAGGGAGAAGAAAGTATTTCTATCAGCAAACTTCTTTTAGACTTAAAAAACATTTATTTAGCAATCCATTAATGACAGCCCAACTCCTGATGAGATTTCTAAGCAAAGAGGGTCTATTATAATTAAGTTTTAACTCCTTCAGGCCCTTAAATTTTGACGACTTGGCCCACAATAATTTATGTTTACTAAAATGGCAGAGGAAGTGGTGTACAAAAAAACAAAAAAAAACAATAGAGAATATAATATACTTCTAATCCTTACATAAGTATATATTTTTTAAAGAGAAATAAATGTACATTTTTAATATGATGATAAGTTTATGTTTAATATTGTTATATCTAGTAGGAAAGAAGTATTCAGCGGGTGTTAATTTCACAAGAACAGAATTTTTAAAAAGTTTCTTCATTTACCATGGTTTTGCAGCCACAAGAGCAGTAAATATCCAAATTTGAGAATAATACTTTACAGTTTGTTTAATTTCCTAACAAATTCAAAAGTTATAAGTTTCTGGGTTAGTTTAGCACTCTGGGGCTCCTAGTTGTCACAAAGTGCTGAGTGAAATTTCAGAGAAAAAATGACAGCAAAATGAGCCATTACACACACACTATTTACTATTTACTTTGTAGTTATATACAGACTGTAGCTGCAATGAATGAACAACGAACGAATGATCCCAATTTAACCTAACCATTGTATAGTACTGTCTATTTGTTTGGAGCTTTTGCCTTCTCTTACACCATAAATATGATAGCAATGGGACATTGTCTGTGTAAACTCGTCAAAAATCACTAGAATCCCAGCAGCTGATCGCTCAGCTGCGCTGGTGAAAATTCACCGTCCAAATCACTTTCCGAAAAATCTAAATTTTTATTATTATTATCATAATTGAAAACTTCTGACTGAAACAATTTCAGAGCTTCGGTCGCAGAAAGACGCATTCTGTGACCTGTACTTGTGGTTGGAACGTTGGTATTCATGGCACTCGAAAACAAACTTTGAAAATGCACTGTTGAAAAAAATGTAGCTATGAATCGGATCAATCTATGTACATGTGGCTTGGGATACGGAATGTTGTTAAAAGGAAATTGTTAGAGTAACTTTCCGTGAATACTTTTAATGGTAGTTCCGAACATTAGAAACAAGTACGGAGCTGTGTGCGAAGTAAAATGTATAGGACGCATGATTGATGCTGACAGTGTTGTTTAGGCAAAATGAAACTTCTTAATCAACGCTCACAGCTTTGCTCAGGCCTTAAAGAGTTTAGGCTTGATTTTGCTTTTTCCTCTTACGTTGTTTTTGGTAGATGTAACTTAGATAATGATTATAAAGCTGAGACCTGGCATTTGTTCTGTAAAAATTGTTTGACCTTTCTTCTTCCATTGTAACTTTTTAACCTTTTTAAAAATTCAGTAAACCTTTCTTTTAACACTCTCTCTAGTAGATGTAACTTAGATGATGATTATAAAGCTCTGAACTGGTGGCATCTGTCCTGTAATGTATTGTTTGACATTTGTTTTCTTTCATTGAAACATACAAAATTTAAGTAAACAGTAAACCTTCTTTAACACGGACTCCAAGAAATAGGTCATGTTGACCGAGATTGAAGCTAACCGGGAACTCATATTTCAGTCTTGCCGTTGACCAAAAATTCTGGTTCATCCTGACTCTGAAAGTTGGCTACAGTCTACCACTATAGTCTTTGGGAATATTACGTGGTGAGGCCCAGTCTCTACTGTGGTGCTAATCTTGTATTGCTGTCAAAAAAAGAGAAACAAGCTTAACCTGAGGCATAATTTTCTCTTCTTTAGCCAAACTGATGCAGCCAGTTGTTTGCTCCTTCTATATCAACTGTATATGCTTCACCCCAAATCACAAATGAGGAAATTGGGTGTCTGTTTTTGAACCAGTACAGTCAACCAGCGGACATCTTAAATCTTGAATTTCTTAATGTATTGCAGTCTTATTTGTTTTTGACTAAATTATAGGTCTACTTAACGGTGGATTGGAAGTGCACAATTGGTTGAATCATTCTAGAAGTTACGTTTCAGTTATCTAAACACTTAGCACTATTAAGTTGCTTGTTCCCAGAACCTGAGGCAGCAGTATGAAGAATTTCTTCATGATCTTTAAGTTTTATAGGTGAGGTAGACTTGATTATTCCATACTGTTCAGCAGTTGTCATTTTTGTTTCAATGCAACACAGTGATTTTTTCTAGGATTTTCAATTTTGTTTGCAGATCTATGCCTGTCTGCTTCCTCTTGCATGCCCCATCTTACTGCTTGCAATTTATAATATTGATGCTACTCATATTGGTTAAAAACAATCATTATTATTAAATCGGAGACTGTATTTTGAGGAGCCTCTATGATCTAGCGGCTAGATGCTCACCTTCGGGTGTGGGTTCAGGCCCTGATGTAACCGGACCCTGGCTCCCTATGTTGACCCAGCCTCAAATAGGTTCGAGGTAAAATCCTGGGAAGTAAATGTGGCCGCCATGATATTGACCACTTCACCCACTGAGTGCCGACTGGTCTTTAAAATATAGGTCTAGCCCTATATGGCCAGGACGCCTAAAGGCTTGGAAAAGGGTCCTTTACTGTAATTTGAACACATTATTGAAGTGACTCTGTTAAAATATAAACTGATTGTTGACATGATAATCGCGATTGTCACATGACTGCATTAGCAATGTTCAAGTAATGTTGAAAACAATAACTCCTAGTTCAAGCACCCAAATAACATGAATTTGACAAGGGTTAACTTTCAACTTCATTTCTCACACAACTAGCAGAGGAACAAGAGAGAAACAGTTTATTAACAGCTTTGGATGCAACAGACTAAAAAGAAAAAAGTTTGTAATTTGTGTTAACAGACATTCATGCTAACTGATAAAACTTTCAGTAAGAAATAATAATCCCTGCCAGGGCCAAAATTTTATTCATGCTAACGGAGTGTTCTTCTTAAGCAAGTTTGTGTTAAGAAGGGTTTATTGTAATTACAGTATGGACAGTACTGACTAGATAATCTTGAGTCAGTTTTGACTGTCAGGCTTTCTGACTAGATTGTGTCCAAAACAGGTTTATACAGTTGACCTTTTTCCCCCCTTCCGTAACTTTTACTGATCTTATTATGAGAGGCTTTGTTTTCCTTACAGAATTGGTGAGGGCCAGACTAAAAGTGAAGAGCTACCTCGATGGGCAGAAGACCAAGAAGAACAAAGAACTACGTTTACACCTGGCACATGTTCAGGCTCAGATGACTGAACAGGTAACACAGAATCTTTTAGTGTATGTGTATCTTCATCAACTGGAAATACAGTATCTCTTAGTGTATGTCTATCTTCATCAACAGGTAATACAGTATCTTGTAGTGTATGTGCATCTTCATCAACAGGTAATACAGTATCTTGTAATGTATGTGTATCTCATCAACAGGTAATACAGTATCTTGTAGTGTATGTGTATCTCATCAACAGGTAATACAGTATCTTGTAGTGTATGTGTATCTCATCAGCAAGTAATACAGTATCTTGTAATGTATGTGTATCTCATCAACAAGTAATACAGTATCTTGTAGTGTATGTGCATCTTCATCAACAGGTAATACAGTATCTTGTAATGTATGTGTATCTCATCAACAGGTAATACAGTATCTTGTAGTGTATGTGTATCTCATCAACAAGTAATACAGTATCTTGTAATGTATGTGTATCTCATCAACAGGTAATACAGTATCTTGTAATGTATGTGTATCTCATCAACAGGTAATACAGTATCTTGTAATGTATGTGTATCTCATCAACAAGTAATACAGTATCTTGTAATGTATGTGTATCTCATCAACAAGTAATACAGTATCTTGTAATGTATGTGTATCTCATCAACATGTAATACAGTATCTTGTAATGTATGTGTATCTCATCAACAGGTAATACAGTATCTTGTAATGTATGTGTATCTCATCAACAGGTAAAACAGTATCTTGTAATGTATGTGTATCTCATCAACAAGTAATACAGTATCTTGTAATGTATGTGTATCTCATCAACAGGTAATACAGTATCTTGTAGTGTATGTGTACCTTCATCAACAAGTAATACAGTATCTTGTAATGTATGTGTATCTCATCAACAGGTAATACAGTATCTTGTAATGTATGTGTATCTCATCAACAGGTAATACAGTATCTTGTAGTGTATGTGTATCTCATCAACAAGTAATACAGTATCTTGTAGTGTATGTGTATCTCATCAACAAGTAATACAGTATCTTGTAGTGTATGTGCATCTTCATCAACAGGTAATACAGTATCTTGTAGTGTATGTGCATCTTCATCAACAGGTAATACAGTATCTTGTAGTGTATGTGCATCTTCATCAACAGGTAATACAGTATCTTGTAGTGTATGTGCATCTTCATCAACAGGTAATACAGTATCTTGTAGTGTATGTGCATCTTCATCAACAGGTAATACAGTATCTTGTAGTGTATGTGTATCTCATCAACAGGTAATACAGTATCTTGTAGTGTATGTGTATCTCATCAACAAGTAATACAGTATCTTGTAGTGTATGTGCATCTTCATCAACAGGTAATACAGTATCTTGTAGTGTATGTGCATCTTCATCAACAGGTAATACAGTATCTTGTAGTGTATGTGCATCTTAATCAACAGGTAATACAGTATCTTGTAGTGTATGTGTATCTCATCAACAGGTAATACAGTATCTTGTAGTGTATGTGCATCTTCATCAACAAGTAATACAGTATCTTGTAGTGTATGTGCATCTTCATCAACAGGTAATACAGTATCTTGTAGTGTATGTGTATCTCATCAACAGGTAATACAGTATCTTGTAATGTATGTGTATCTCATCAACAGGTAATACAGTATCTTGTAGTGTATGTGTATCTCATCAACAAGTAATACAGTATCTTGTAGTGTATGTGTATCTCATCAACAGGTAATACAGTATCTTGTAGTGTATGTGTATCTTCATCAACTGGTAATACAGTATCTTGTAGTGTATGTGTATCTCATCAACAAGTAATACAGTATCTTGTAGTGTATGTGTATCTCATCAACAGGTAATACAGTATCTTGTAGTGTATGTGTATCTTCATCAACAAGTAATACAGTATCTTGTAGTGTATGTGTATCTCATCAACAGGTAATACAGTATCTTGTAGTGTATGTGTATCTTCATCAACAGGTATAACAGTTCTGTTTTTTGTAATGTAAGTATTCAAAACATCTTCATCAGCGGGTAATACAGTTCTGGCTTGTGCATTGTTAGTATTTAAAAAATCATAATCGTTGGGTAATAGTTTTGTTTAATTTATGTATATTTTCATCAGGTAGCACTGTTTTGTGTTGTGTGATGAAAGTATTCAGAAATCTTCATATCTTCATCATTAGGCAATACGATTTTGTTTAGATTTTGTATATCCCCATCATCAGGTAATTTAGTTCTGTTTAGTTTACATATATCTTTATCATCAGTCAGTTCAGTTCTGTTTAGTTTACATATATCTTTTTTTGGTAATCTTAGTTTAGCTTCATAGTAAACGGGTCACTCCATAGTTGCTCCGCTCCTGTGCCTACCAAAAACAAGCAAAAAATCTGTCACTGTTCCTTGAGGGAAAATTATCAGGCACCCATCAGAAGTGCTAGAACAGACATTTCATCCTCGACAGAAGCAGCAGTTACAAACATATCGACAATTGCACACGCGATTAATTTTAATCACATAAGGCACCACCAATTCTGCGGCAAAAGGCAGCTCACCATTTTCTAAATCTACAGTTCCCAACAGCACTCTAGTCGTAGTCAAAAAACACTCCAAATGAAAACCACAGATCAGTATGTCACACCATGCACTCAGCTCACTAGCTGGGCACAAAACTGCATACTTTCAGTCTGCAAATGGAGGAAAAATTCAACAGCCACCATCTGTGTCAGAAGCAAAATTTTCAACGACTAAAAAACCACAAACTTAAACTCAGGCTACAGTGTTATGCAAAACAGAATTGCAATACCTGATGATCAGCATTTACAGAATCTAAATACAACTGTACTGTCTGATTTCCTTTGTGGATTTCCGTGCCCATTTTGGGTGAAAAAATAACTCCTTCCCTGTGTTTCGCAAATGGGAACTTCATTGTTTATTCAAGGATGTAAATGCATTGTGCCTGTTTATGGCTGCGATATTTGTGAAGATTATATAAACTATAGACTGAAATGGAGAGAAACCAGCTAGATGGTCAAGAAAGTAAAACAAAAGTATAGGACATATTTTGGAGCATAATAAGCAGAAAGTAAGAAAACAACACACATCTGCATGAAAGTCACTTAAAACAGAGGATACTTCCTGAGCTTGATTTGTTTCCGTGGGAAAAATTTAGAAGTCAGATATTTTGGTAACCGACCTTGTACAGACATTAGCTGTAAAAAATATTGATTGATTCTAGATACCATTTCGTTCTGGTTATTGATAAAACTGAATTGTCTGCAGTGGTGTCAACTAAGAACGTTGTCATTTCAGATTGCCTTGCTCGCTCAGACTGTGACAAGTGCATTCTCACTTGAAGACGACTACCAGCGTGAATATTCCAATGATGACCTCTTCAATGTGGAGTTTTATGCCACCAAGAACCTGAAGCTTCTGTTCCCCACCAATGTTGGCCACTTCCTGCTGTTCCTACTGGTGGTTCTCACCCTTGTCATGATCATGCTGACAACAGTCAAGGGAGGCAGTTTGCCTGTCAGCAGTGTCCAGGAATGGTTCTTGAGATTTGTTCAGTGTCTTTTGTTATATGGCTTTGTTTTTGAGCCCTTAAAATGTTTGATTTATGTTGTTCTGCAGTTGTATAATGGTTAAAATGAACAGCTGCTTTCATAGTTGAGCAAAAATAGATGTTTTATAGACAGTAAAAAAAAAAAAATACTTCAAGTTAATCTTGCTGGAAATGTGGATTGCGAGTTTATTGTCCAAGAGAGCAACAACAATATAAAAACATGATGGACCCTTTTTACACCAGTGATGAATTGGAGGATTCATATTTTTATAGAGCAGCTGGTCCTTGATGTTCGATGTTGTCAACATCTTGTCGGCTGCCTTTGCTTTCCATGACTTTACTTTAGGCTGGGTCAGCCTGGAATCCACGGTTTAACAAAAAAAAAATATCTAACTTAATGTGGATTTGAACCCTAAACACTGGGGCCGGAGCCGAATGCATCCAAGGAAGTATTGATGTTTCATTCCCAGTAATCTCAGGGCTGGATCGTTTTTAAATTACTACATCTCTAGGCTAGACAGACTTGTAACATATTTTGTTTTCTTTGTGATCATAAAAGGCAGCAAGAAAAGGAACAGGACATAAAAATAATGCCAAATACTAAGATAATTACAGGACTAACACTTCACATCTCTACACAGGATTGCCCAGACCTTTTCAACGAGGTGTGAATTCTCAAAGTGAGCAGTGAGTAAATAAGTTAACCTAGTGTTAGACCTGTGTTTGTATATACCAGCCGGGTGATCAACATCCCACTGACCACCTTTACTTCCCAGGACTACCTGGTACTATTTTAGGCTAAGTCAACCTGGAAGCACTCACACATGCGCGCATGTAATGTTTTGTGTTGTTCTTTTATTCTTGGTGTTGGAAGTCCACCCAGCCATTAGAACTTTAAATGTGGTAGTGTCCCTGACAAAGAGCTTTATTAACCACCTTAAGATACTGATAGAACCAGTTGACAGTTGTTAAGCACAAAATAACAGGTTGCTCAGGCATTTACTTTTGTTACAGCATGAAAAGTTTAGCCAAAATGTTTGTTTTGGTTTAGTACTGACTAGATACTTTTTTGCTTTTGTAAATTCATGGGCAGCTTGATGTCTTTTTTATTTGTTTTCCAGTAAAAATCAAGTTATTGGAAATTATAATGGTTATCATTCAGGCATATGGGGCTGATCCCATGTTTGATAGACTAACCAACAGTGAAGGAAAATTGGCTAGTAAACAGCATCTTGTCTCACAAACTGAAATATTTTGGCCGCATCAAGCACCATAGTGGATTGGGACAATTAATAGCAAAAAGCTTGGTACCGGGAAAGAGGCTGTTGAAAACTAAGATGGGCACAGGATATGTTACACCTTGTGTAGGAAAGAAAAGTACACGAAAGCTGGCGAGAGACAGAATTTCTTTCAGACAGACTGTAATGGTGGGCTACATGATGATAATAAATTGTGGCACTCACTATGTGATATGGTCTAAACCAGCCCCCCCCCCCCCCCCCCCCCCCCCCCCCCCCCCCCCCCCCCCCCCCATATGTCTTTTCTTCTCGAGACATTCCCTGAAACATTTTTTTTTCAAGGCTGGGTCAACCTGCGAGTCGCATCAATTTTAAAAATCAGACACAAAAAGGATTCAACACCAAGACCATTGAACCAGTATGCAAGCATCTAGCCACCTGATGAAGGCATGAACAGGCTGAATAATGTAGATCCCTCATCATTTTCTAGAAGGACATGATTGATAGTGTCCCCATGTGGGACACTCACTCCCCCACAAGCATGTCATAACAGGCAGCTAATTAGAAAGTGCATTAGGGAGACGTGAGAAACCAACAAGAGGAACTAACAGTCTGCATACACCAGATCTGTGAATGGATGTGCACACAAAACTCAAGTTGTGGAATAAGACCAGCGTTCAGAGTTTGCAGCTGATCAAAGCTAAGAAGATTTGTATCAGCTTAAAAATAATGAGCGGGCAGTTACTAAGTTCTCTGATTTGATTTTTAGAAACATTTTAGTGTTATGTTGGAAATGTTGCACACTTTAATTTTCTTATAAAGTTTTCCATTTGCATTTATCAAACAAGTCAGTGTTTGGAATAAAATGTTCAGTGAATTCAGTGAAAATGTTTCTGGTGCATTTGTTTGTTTGTGTAGGGAACTGAGATTCCAGTATGTCATACACACAGATTCTCAACTGCAATTTTTGCTTTGGTTTATTAAAGAAGACTTTGATTACACACAGATATCCTCATAAATATTGATTTTCACCCACAATTTTTGCTTTGATTTATAAAGGATCACTTTGATTAAACACAGATAGATATCCCCATCAGTGCCTTATTCTCCTCCTGTAGATGATGGCTTAGCTTCAAATATTTGTTTTTTATTTTTATTTTCTAGCAGCTAAAGGACTCTTGCCCAAACAACAAAGTCCTCACTAATCAGCTAGTGTTATGGAGATAAACAAATTCATGTAAAACAAAAACATGAATACTTAGAGCACTAGCTGTCTGTGAAAAGTGATCACTGACTTGTCAATTCGAAAGGAAAATACATGCACTGGAAATTCTCAGTACAGTTCAGACCTCATAAAGAGAACTCACCAGGAAACAAAGATATGGTTCTTATCAGAAATTCTTATCCCGATACAGATTCCAGCAAAAACATTTGGCGGGGATAAACAAATTGTTCTTCACAATAAGAATTTGCCACATCTGAGATCACCTTAAGCACTGTATATCATAGAGACCATTTAACAAAAACAATTTTTCATCATATTATCTCTCACCACATAAGCAGCTATGAATCCCTTTATTAACAACAGTGGAAAATGCAGTGGTTCAAAGATAAAATAAGATCTGTGGCCTTTCCAAAATGATACCATAGAACTCCAGCACAGGAAAAGTGGAGAAGCAGCAGGCACACACAAATCTGGTTATTAAATTTAATCATAATTAAAAGATAATAAAACAAAGTCCACTGCATCTGACCGACAGGCATGCAGGGATCTGATCTGACAGTCAGCAGCAACAGACGACACATCGACATGCTGTGTTTTAGGGCTTTAATAATGACGGATTCTTGATGAGCCAAGTATGTGTACAGCTCGTTTAAGTCGTTTGCCTTCAAAGAAGACTAGATGTCAGAGGCTCTACTTAGTCCTCTCAGATTGACCCAGCCTTGAGTGGGGATAGGGTGCAGTCCTGGGAAGTAGAGGCAGCCGGCATGATGCTGACCACATGACCAACCTTGTTCCGATTGGTCTATGAAATATAGGTCTAGCTCTATATGCCTAAAGGCGTGGGAAAAGGTCCTTAACTGTTTTTTAATACCTAGTACTTTTTTTTAACCGGGGGGGGGGGGGGGGGGGGGGGGGGGGGGGGGGGGGGGGGGGGGGGGGGGGGGGGGGGGGGGGGGGGGGGGCGCAAAAAAATTAGGTACATCTGTGTGATAACCTAAGGCTATTTCTTATTTACTCCTCACTGCGGGCCACGTCGATTCAACATTATGCAGAAACTGAACCCAAGTAAACACGAATCATAAAAATTTAACTCATTCTTGAACCTCTAAGCTACAATCCCCCCAATCCCCCATTTCAGTGACTGTACATTTCACTTGACCAAGTGCCAGCTGTGAGCCTTATCTCTTTTTGTGTGAGTCTGTGAAGTTACTGACGCCCAAGAACAGGACACTTCTGAAAACAGAAACATTTAATTCTTCACTGTATGGAGTAGGCCAGAATGCATCCTGTTTGGTGCATGTTAAAAGTGGGGTGGTGATCTTTAAACTGTCATACAAATGTCATCTTGCTCACCTGCACCAGGATGTCAGGTGATTAAGTCTTGACATCCTTAACAACAGTACGGCTTACAAGACCATAGTATGTTTATTGTATCACTTTTAAGGTTTTCACTTGAAGCCCTTCACACTTATCCATTACTCATAGCTTTTGTTTGACACCGAGACGATTACAAAAGAAAACACTGAAGAAAAAACAAACCAGTGACTACATTTACATACAAACAGACCAGTATTCATTAATTAAACAATATACACACAAAATAAAAAGAATATGTTTATTTGTATTAAATTCCATTTGTCAGCATTTAAAAACCTGTTAAATGTGTAATTTTGCAAGCAGCCTTAAAAAACAGGTCATAATTACAAATATAACAGGTGTCAAAAACACAAGAAACTTGCGGACACTACAGGTAAATTCATCATAAATGTAGGCCACACACAAACAATTATCCTTTTGCTAGTCTAGACAACAGAATGACATTCTTAAAAACAAACCTGAAAACTTTCTTATTATGTCTTAAATAGCTACTGTACTGGGTAAAATTTTATTTGGCAGTTCAGCTGTGAAAAAACACACTTTAAAAATAAAAATTAGCTAAAGAATTACATTTACATTTAAAAACCAGTAAATGTTCAACACTTACACCTGCAGAAAGCTCCACACCCCAGATTAAAAATCTCTGACATTAAAAATACAGTGCTGGATAAGAGGTAAGTATCAGCACATGATACCGGACTAAGGAAACTGAAAACTGTTGTCATAATGTAGGGTGTAATGTATTCTTGGAGTCTTGTCATAATATGGTCCAGCCACTTGCTTTTGAATGCTCATTTTTGGACTGCCATTTCAGTTCAGATGCAATTTTGCGACTGTGGTTCATTAATGAAGCTACGGAATTCATGCTCTGCTTATGCACTCTCAAAAGATGATCAATAACTCTGCAGCCAGTCAGATGGGATCAAACCTACTGCAATGAAGTTGTTGCTCTCCCTTGTAATCACTTGAACTGTGAAAGATCAGTCACTGCTCCACTACAAGTACATTGACAGATTCCGACCTATTAAATGTTATTGAAATTATTTCATGGTAACTGAGTAGCGGGGATTGACGAGGTGTTCTGGCAGATGATTGAGGCTCAGAGGAAAAGTAAGACAGACGTTTAATCAGAATGCTATTGGCACCATTAGAATTGGAACTCTTCACTGGCTGCTGAAGATGGTTACTAAGTACTTATGGGAATGCCCCGAGTGCTGTGATGTCGGTTCTTGAATCAACTCAACTCATGTTAATTGAGCAAGTCAGAATTCTCCTTTCCACATGTATTGTACCAAAGCCATTGTCTGCCAGAACTGTGCTGGGAATGCAAGCTTTTGTCCAAGTAGCCACGAGAAGGCTAGGCCGCTCATTCATTTTTGGTACGAAACAAATCCCTACTGGGGATCAGAACTGGTGCACAAGATCATTACCCTAACCTCTTGGCACGCTCACCCTTTTCAAACTGACCCAGTCATTTATTAAATCTTCCTGTCTAATGTACTGTGTATGGTTGGGTAATATTCACATGTGCCAGTAAATATGTTACATGTGTTTTTATATCTTTTGTTTGGTGAGCAACTCTGAAAGCAAGAGTTGTACATTTGGCCCTCTCTGGAAATAGTAAACCAATAATTTTAGCATTGCCATTGTGAACTTTCTCGGACATTAGCAAGGACCAAGCTTACATATTTTAATCTAAATTATTTCTGTATCTAATTTATTAGGTTTTTGATAGTAAACATATTCAGTTTCCTACCTGGCTTAGATGTGAGTAGATGATAGGCAAACAGAAAGGAAAAACTGCACATTTAAAACGTTATTTCAGGCACAGTTTACACACTAGGACCTCGGTCAGAATCGGCTGAAATGGATGGAAACCAATACAGAGCCAGAAAAAAGACAGAAAGACGTTGTTTTGAATTAAAATGCGGGAATATCTGAAAAAGAAAACATTTAAAACAATTACCATTATAAGGAACTGAGTCAGAGTCAGTAGAAATGAAATTAAACCAATGTACAGAACAAGGAACAGATGGCTAATAGTGTTGTAAATGAAAGTGCAAAAACTGAAGGAAAATTCCGAGCCTGCACACACATATATATATATATACAATAAAAACACTTTGTAGTTAGGTTTTCATTAACTCTCTGTCCCCAGCAACATATCACCAATGAGTCTCTACCTGATTCTCTATCATCCCGATGTGGGTTAGGTCCCTTTTTGGAAGGTGAAAATAGACACTAATTAGATGTGTTTCCCTTAAAGTCAGGATGCATCTGCCTGAGAGGCAAGCAACCAAAAGTCTGCAGGTCTGTAAAACAGACGTGCATGCAAAACTCAAGATCTGAAACAAGACTAACCAAAGTCCAGAAGTAAATGAACGACAACAACTTTCCGCTGGTGTTTACAACTAGAGAATGCTAAGAAAAAGGAACTATCTCTTACTGCATATGTTGTTAATTTGAGCATCTGGTCATATCATACTTCAACATCAGGCTGCCCTTGTGACCAACTGTGTACCTAACTTCATCGCTGAAAGCATGCTCTCATGGTTGTTCACAGTGGGTTTTTTTATGGCTGGGTGACCTGCTGTTGTTACTTCCTGGGACTGAAAGTGTTAAATCTTTGACATGCACACCTCTAACAAATTGAAGTTTTAAAATACAGAAACATGAGAGGACCCAGCCAGCCTCCGTGTTATCCTTGTTCAATGAATATGTCATCCATTGCTTCAGAGCTGGTCAGTTTCAAAACCTGAAATAAACAGATTTATGGATGAATAAATATTTGAATCATCAATGAATATGTCATCCATTGCTTCAGAGCTGGTCAGTTTCAAAACCTGAAATAAACAGATTTATGGATGAATAAATATTTGAATCATAACCGCCAACAAAATTACAATCTCCAGTTTCGAAATGTGAAGAAAAGAAACAAATACTGGAAAAATATGGAGCTTGCAACATTCTAGTACAGCATGTGTGATGTTTGTTTCTACACTGAAAGAGATAGTTTATGTAGCTTGCAACATTCTAGTACAGTATGTGTGATGTTTTCTTCCACACTGAAAGAGATAGTTTATGTAGCTTGCAACATTCTAGAACAGCATGTGTGATGTTTGTTTCTACACGGAAAGAGATAGTTCATGTAGCTTGCAACATTCTAGTACAGAGTGTGTGATGTTTGTTTCTACACTAAAAGAGATAGTTTATGTAGCTTGCAACATTCTAGTACAGCATGTGTGATGTTTGTTTCTAGACTGAAAGAGATTGTTTATGTAGCTTGCAACACTCTAATACAACATGTGCTTGTGTGATGTTTGTTTCTACACTGAAAGAGATAGTTCATGTAGCTTGCAACACTCTAGTACAACATGTGCTTGTGTGATGTTTGTTTCTACACTGAAAGAGATAGTTCATGTAGCTTGCAACATTCTAGTACAACACGTGCTTGTGTGATGTTTGTTTCCACACTGAAGGAGATCAGAAGCTTGCTGCGCTCCTATGTAATGTGATCTATGTGGGTTTTTTACCACCATTTCAAGGGTGGTCGACTTATCAATCTAATGCAGGATATGATTTATAAATCAAAGCAGAAGAATGTAGAATGTCAGTTAGATGATGGTAAGTTGATTTTGATTTTCTATGACACATATCCGTATAACTCCCTCAATTCTTAAGTGCTCCACAGCTGCTGAATCAGAACATATTTCACTAAACATAACTAAGTCATCTTCAGACAATAAATATATTCCTTATGGACATATATTTGATGTGAGAATTGTGACCACCTGAACATTGCCATAAAAGGAATATTTTGACAGTAAAAAAAGTATTATTTATGCTGTTTAATTTGTTTTCTCTATTCTTGTTTCAAATGTTGCTTATCTGTGTATGTAAATGCACATGAAAAATTTGTTTTACTTTTAATAATCTCTTTATCTATATGTTATAATGCATTGAAAGTGTGGATTAAGAAGTAGAGGTCATCATCATCAGGTGCCTTGCCGACTGGCGTGGGCGATCATGCCTCTCCACAAGAGGCTAAATTGCTCATTTCCAAAACTTGTCTATTTCCTAGCAGAGTTTGAGAGAAATAAGTTTGTTGCGTCCTTTACAGGACGGCAGAACAACTCCAGCATGTTTTGACTCTCTTGTAGTTTAACAAGGCAATAAGTAGTTTGCCAATGCTCTCTGAATGTTCTAAATCAATGCAAAGCGGTAGAAGTACATTGGAGCAAAGAAACAATGGAAGAATACAAGTATTGTTAACATGTGGAGCAAAGAAGCATACAAGAACGGTAACATTAAAGTCTGGAGCAAATAAACAACAGAAGAATTCAAGTACGGTAATGTTAAAGCATGGATCAAAGAAACAACAGAATACAATCGGAGCATACAAGTCCAGGACATTAAAGTTTCAACAAGGGAAAACCTGAGGCTACCTTACCTTTTCATTTGTGATATACAGCAGGCATGCAAACACAGTCTGAATGGTGAGATTTTTGGCCATGTTAGTTGAAACTTGTGACAGCAAATTATCTTTTAATTCCTTGAAGTTCTGAGGATCTGACATCTTTACTGACACATCTTCAGATATATCAGGCCGTTGAGTCTCCTCACTCACCTAATCAGGGACATTTAAAATTACTCATAGACAGACAAAAATAATCCTTAAATTCTAAGCCAGTTAACAACTTTGACTGCAGAAGTCCTACTGCATGTTTATTTTTAGCATTAATTACACAATGAAACAGGTGCAACCTGCATGTGATAGTAAATCCCAGAGTTTCATAGAAGAAGACCCAAACACAATACTGTCATTTTTTTTTTTTAAGTATCCAGAAGCCATGAGTTGTTAACCCTTAGGCACGGTATTATGGATATCACAACCCTTTGGCTTTGATTCCATGATAAATACCGTAAATCTGGGAGAAATGTGGCTTTTCTGCCTACAACTGGGTATGAACCTGGACCACAGGGAGTTCGTCACCCGGTCGCCGTGCAATCCTGTTTAGCCAACTACGGTAGCAAGCCGGGCACACAATACTGAAAATGCAAGTTTCCATCATCTGTGTTGCTTGCTGGCCAGGAGGGAAGCAAATACTGATAATTTATCATACCATACATGTCAAAAGAGGCATCTAAAAAGGGCAGGCTTCTGTGTTTGCCCTAAAAATGGCAATTGGCGTGTTGCATTGTACAGCTAGGCTACAATATTCTGTGCTTGTTGGCCCAAAACATTCACTTTCAGCCAACCCATAATTAGTTGTTTTGAATGCCATGTTTGAAAAGGAAGGAAAGAGGGTGGGGATGCCATGTTTGAAAAGGAAGGAAAGGGGGTGGGGGCCGAGCTGAGAGAGAAAGAAGGGACCTATTAATTTTCATCCTTCAACGTGGGGCCCCAGCGCCCACACAGGGAGCTTGGGTGACTGCTGCACCACAAAGCAAGCTTGCAAAAACCATAAACTGTTAAAACTATTATACAAAAGGCTTGGCATGAATTGGTTAAAAGTCTGTACTCCATAGGAGATTTCAGGCTGGAGAGAGGAGAAGACAAGTATCCATTGCTACATACACCAGACATAAATCCTATAGCTGAACATCTCAGCTTTTTTGTTGCTCGTTATTGAATTCTGGCAAGAACTCAAGTAAATAATGCATAATGTTATTTTTGAATTAGCATAAATACTAGTTTACACAGCATGCAGACAAACAGACACACACCCATAAATACTGTAAACTTAGCAAAAGCTTACATCGGGATATAGCTCAGTAAACATGAGTCTGGTACTTAATATGCAATATCCTTTAGGTGTGCATATGGATTACTTACTTTTATTTACAGAAAGTAAAATTACTACTTCTGCATGAAAATCAACAATTTGAAAATGTATCCACAAAATAATATTTAAGCAGGTAAATCAGTCCCAGTCACATGGAAACAGAATGAAAGGGTCATACAGATTTCCCAAAATTTTTATGAGCAGTCACAAAGCCTTAGATTTATGAAGTCAAATTTTCAACAACAAAAAACAACCTTTACAACAGCCAGAGGACTCACTAACCTGAATGACAATACAGAAAACTTCAAACTAGTCACTGAACTCAACATTTAGAATGACAATACAGAAAACTTCAATCTAGTCACTGAACTCAACATTTAGAATGACAATACAGAAAACGTCAAACTAGTCACTGAACTCAACATTTAGAATGACAATACAGAAAACTTCAAATTTGTCACCAAACTCAACATTTAGAATGACAATACAGAAAACTTCAAACTAGTCACTGAATTCAACATTTAGAATGACAATACAGAAAACTTCAAACTAGTCACTGAATTCAACATTTAGAATGACAATACAGAAAACTTCAAACTAGTCACTGAATTCAACATTTAGAATGACAATACAGAAAACTTCAAACTAGTCACCAAACTCAACATTTAGAATGACAATACAGAAAACTTCAAACTAGTCACTGAATTCAACATTTAGAATGACAATACAGAAAACTTCAAACTAGTCACTGAATTCAACATTTAGAATGACAATACAGAAAACTTCAAACTAGTCACCAAACTCAACATTTAGAATGACAATACAGAAAACTTCAAACTAGTCACTGAATTCAACATTTAGAATGACAATACAGAAAACTTCAAACTAGTCACTGAATTCAACATTTTGAATGACAATACAGAAAACTTCAAACTAGTCACTGAACTCAACATTTAGAATGACAATACAGAAAACTTCAAATTTGTCACCAAACTCAACATTTAGAATGACAATACAAAAAAACTTCAAACTTATCATCAAACTCAACATTTAGAATGACAATACAGAAAACTTCAAATTTGTCACCAAACTCAACATTTAGAATGACAATACAAAAAACTTCAAACTTATCATCAAACTCAACATTTAGAATGACAATACAGAAAACTTCAAATTTGTCACCAAACTCAACATTTAGAATGACAATACAAAAAACTTCAAACTTATCATCAAACTCAACATTTAGAATGACAATACAGAAAACTTCAAATTTGTCACCAAACTCAACATTTAGAATGACAATACAAAAAACTTCAAACTTATCATCAAACTCAACATTTAGAATGACAATACAGAAAACTTCAAATTTGTCACCAAACTCAACATTTAGAATGACAATACAAAAAAACTTCAAACTTATCATCAAACTCAACATTTAGAATGACAATACAGAAAACTTCAAACTTATCATCAAACTCAACATTTAGAATGACAATACAGAAAACTTCAAACTTATCATCAAACTCAACATTTAGAATGACAATACAGAAAACTTCAAACTTATCATCAAACTCAACATTTAGAATGACAATACAGAAAACTTCAAACTTATCATCAAACTCAACATTTAGAATGACAATACAGAAAACTTCAAATTTGTCACCAAACTCAACATTTAGAATGACAATACAAAAAACTTCAAACTTATCATCAAACTCAACATTTAGAATGACAATACAGAAAACTTCAAATTTGTCACCAAACTCAACATTTAGAATGACAATACAAAAAAACTTCAAACTTATCATCAAACTCAACATTTAGAATGACAATACAGAAAACTTCAAACTTATCATCAAACTCAACATTTAGAATGACAATACAGAAAACTTCAAACTTATCATCAAACTCAACATTTAGAATGACAATACAGAAAACTTCAAACCAGTCACTGAACTCTTTAACCTGAATGATAATTCATCAGAAAATGTCACACTAGTCACCGACACAGTGACCTGAATATCAATAAGAAATACTCACCAAGTGTTTATCTTTAGTTAATAGCGACCACAGTGTGAATTTCAATTTCCTCACATCCACACGTTTTGCTGTCTTTGCATACCTGATGTCTATTTTCTCGACCTGTGGTACAGACGGTGTATAAAATAAACAATTGCTCAACTGTCACTGATTAGTGATTTGAGAATCAACATCTTGGCACACTGAGCATACTCACAGGTGCTCCATCTTCTGGAGCACTCATTATACACACATGGATCTCTTCCTTTCATACATCCCTCCTTGCCAGATCCACTCCTAACTCCATGTTCACATGTTATTGAATCTAACCTCATATTCCCCATCAGCATTTGTTCACAAATCCTCTTCAGAATGCCTCTGTTGTCCAGTACAAGTGTTCCTGTAGCTATTGCTCTTGTAGCCAAAAATATCTTCTCTTTGATTTCCCCACATGTATGATGGTGCATGAATGTGTTAATGCATATTTGTGTATGAATGTGTGGATATATGTATGAATCTATGTATACGTATCTGTGTATGACAGAATGTGTGGGTATATATGAGAGTGTATTAGCCGTATGAATGACTGTGTGGTATGTATGTGTTGTAATTGTGTGTGTGCAAGCATTCACCATCTATGCTTCTCCGCCCCCACCCCCCACCCCCCGCCTCCAATCCCTTGATTTTCATAAGATGCATATTGTTACATTCTTCTTCTTTAGCGATCTCTGGTCATGCGCATAATCCCCTGTGGGCCATAAACTGGGATGTCATCTCAAGGTCTCTTAGATTTCCCCAAAGCTTAGTTGTCAGTTCAACTGGGTGTTGCCATATATTGCTCCCCAGCTCCGCCAAGAGAGGACAGTTTTGCAGGACATGTTCTGGAGTCTGTTCAGCACGAAGACACTGGCAGAGAGCTGTTTGGCTCATACCTAATTTATATATGAGTGTTTAGTGAGTCTGCAGTGTCCAGTATGTAAGTGATTTTGTTACATGAACCTAACATGCTTTACTGACACAATACAACGGCTGTGTGAAAGGTGAGTGTTTAGAAGGACCAAATGTAAGATGTGCCTGCATGCCCAATTTGTGACCCTTTGAAAATAGAATTTGTTCGTTCGTTCATGCCTGCATCTTTTGTTGAACAAGGTGCTTAAAGCCTAAAAAAATCAATGCACTGCACAGTTTTATCCATACAGACATCTCTCTCCTTACAGAGCGCTGTTTGCCAGCAGAGTGTTGGGCAGAAGAAGAAACCCTCGATGCCGAAGAAACAGTATGAGAAACAATCTGATTTGCATTGACTGATACTCATAGAAAGAAGTACTGAGAGTAAAGATCGGCACAGCCAAGCATGAGAAGCACACCTGACGCACACAGTCTTGTTAACCAACAAAGGACTGGCACTATTAACTGCCCGACGCCGATAAATATGTTGACAGGGGAATCTGAGCGCCTATGGATGTGTCCAGAGTGCTGTGAAGATAATGTAACTCATAACTTAGAAAGAAGTACAGAGGTAATCACAGTTCCAACATCACAGTAAATGCGTCACCCTATAGTTGCTATTTTCCTGTGCCAGTGAAAACCGCAGAGGGCATCACTCCTGAAATAACTAACATAAAGAGCAGTCTCAGCAAATCCAGTAGCACACACACACATTCAATGCATCAGGTCGATGTCTGAAATGCCAAAACAAAGAGTCTGAAACTACACATGCAGTTCATCGCCAATCGCCAATGGAAGCGGCAGTTACACCAGTCAGTAGTTGGAAACACAATCAATCGCACAAGGCAGTGATTCCCAAACTGTGCACTGTGGTGCCCCGAGTAACCGCAACCTCTTCATAGTGGCGCCACAAAATATTACAATAGCTTCATAATTAATTTAACCAAGACATGAATAGTCATACTTTTACTTAGGTTAGGGTGACGTGGATTTTTTTTTAAATTGAAAAAAGGCGCCACGACCAAGAACAGTTCGGGAAACACTGGCACCACCAGGCCAGGCCAGACCATACCAGTTTCTAAATCTGCAGTTTACAACAAAAACCACCCTGAAGTACAAAGACAAGATGACACACTAGACAACCTAATAACCATAGTGGACTCAAACATGCCACTCCCTAATGACAATAGCACCTCACTACAGGAACAAGTGGATGCATGAGACAATGAGTGTCGAGTTGTTCAAGCACCAGTACAAGAGAAACCCTAAAACAAACAATGTTGAGAGATGCCAGAGGTCTTGGACTAGATTCCATCCTTATGGAAAAGATTGCACAAGGAAGAACGGAATGGGGGACTAGACTGCAAGCATAAAATGGCACAACAGATGAATGATAATTATACCTGTTTCAATATAATTTCTTCTTCTTCTTGGTGTTCACTCCAGTGGACAATTCTGGTTGTTTGTCCACCTCTGGACTTTAGTCTTGTTACAGAACCTGAGTGTTGCATGCACATTCATTTAACAGATCTGATTTAACTGTATGCAGATTGTTGGTTTCCTGCCTATCAGGCAGATGCACTCCAACTTTGAAGGAAACTCCCCAATTAGTTCACTTTTACGACATGCCTGTTGGAGAGTCACTGTGGGTCAGGTTTTTCCCACAATGGGTACACGGAATTCACACAGGGATCAATGCAATTTTGAACATATTTTCATCACAGCTCTCTTCTTCTTCTACAAAAAATATGTGACAAAAATTGACATGACAAGCAGGATAAAATAACCTTGTGCGGTGCTGCCACAAGCTTGTCCTGGGTGTATATGGTGCCATTCAAAGCAGACTCTGAGAAGCCACTTTGCTGTGACAAGCTGTTCTGGGATGCTTGTTGGAAGTTGGTTTCATCTGACAGGTCAAATAAATTATTGTCATCTTCCTCATCCTGTTTTGAAAAACAAAAGCAACATGTAAAGAAAATTCTTTTTTTTTTAAATGAGTGAATATTTAATTCTAAAATCACTCAAAACAGTTTTTGTCGATAAATGTTTTGTGTTGTTGCTTTAAACTACACTGCCCTTTTATAACACTTTTAAATAATAGGCAAGTATTCCATGATCACGTTTTAACAACTGGCAAGTATTCTGTGACATAAACAGCAACCTGTACCGAAAGCAGAGGTATTTAGGCCATGTTAGGCTTCATGGTGGCCTGGGAAGAACAGTGATGGAGAGTATAGCCTGTGGAAGCTGAGGCAGAGGCTGACCTCTGTGAATGTGGATACAATACACTGAAGATACATTAGCTATGTAAGCCCATATCACTGAAGAATTGACTGCAGAAAAAGAAACTTCCAGGCGTGCCATGAGGACAGCGACGTTCTGTGAAGGAGCTGCTGACTGATGATGTTGCTGGTCCCCAGAAGACCCAAAACCTGAATGTTAGGGCACAGTAGACCTGGCCATTAGACTTGGTTTGCAGCTGGTCTAAAAGAAAAGCTCCGACAGGCAGGCAGAGAGCACTGATCTTCTGATCCAGCAGCTTCTGCAAAATGCTTTGCTAGAAACAAAGCAGGCTAAGTAAGGAATCATGATACCTGAAAACATATGGTCTCTACAAAACTGTCCAGACCTCACCCTATGGAGAGGATGATCATCCTATGATGAAACTGATCTTGAAAAAACCTTTCCTTTCTTAACTCAGGTTGAATGTTAAAAAATGAATGTTAAATTTAGAGTCAACATCATAGCACTCGGGACACCCCCAGAAGCGCTCTGTCCTCATCTTCAGCAGCAAGTGAAGAGTTCCAATTCCAATGGCATCAGTAACTGTCTGATTGTATATCTGGCTCGCCATTATTCTTAAACTGCAATGATCTATTTGCACTTCCTCACTATTCACTCACTCCCAGAGGGCCCTCATAATGTCTAGCTTGTCATACATCAATTCACCACTAAGTTGTGAATAACTGGCCAATCAATCAGCCTCCTCACTCATTTCCCAAATCACCGGCATGCGTGTTTTAAAGCATACAAAGGATACACACTACCCGGGACCTCTGCACGGAGCATACCTGTCTCAACCTTTCTCAGTATGCTCTGTGAGTCAGGGACAACTACGGCGGAAGGCAGCAGTGACTGCCTCCACCTCCATTCTCAAACTAGACATTGTGATATTATCATATGCCAGGCTTTGTTGCACTAAGCGACGTCTATTTGCCTTTGCTATAAACCACAATGCACTTCCTCTGCCCTGCAACACAGAGCCATCTGTATAGATAACCACATCACTAGGGCGGGAATTGTCATGAATCAATTGTTGAACTTCTGATTCTGCAGCGCCAGCTGGCCAGTCCCTGCACTTACGACCCAAAGTGATAAGAACCCTGCACAAGACTGAAGCTTGCTCTGACACTCTGACCTACTCCTCACCTCGCACAAATTTATCGAGCCTGCACATATGTCTGATTGTGCCTTGAGCTTGCTAAATCCAAGACCTTCCTCTTTTCAGTCTGTGACACTTAGATCTACCCAGGGCTTCATGCAAGAGGTGCTTCTTGTCTGCAGCTCTCTGAGATATGACTTTTCTTGCAGATCTTCTTAACACGAGTGGGTCCTATTTATTACAATCGAACACTACCGTCTACACAAACTGTAAGGTGCCAAAACAACATTTTTTTTTTAAATTATGTGATTGCCTTTGTAAAACAATTATTTTCTGACTATTGTTTAAATCATGTAAATAATATGTGAATGCATTTTAAAACAGGTAGTAATTGTGAACAGTCATTTAAAAAAAATAAAAAACAAGTAATCTCACACACGATTTTATAAAAGACAAGTAATCTGTGAATTCATATTATTACAAACAAGTTAACTGTGTATTTCCATTAAAACAGACAATTAATCTGTGAATTTCCATTACAAAAGGCAAGTAATCTGTGCATTTCTACTACAATAGACAAGTAATCTCTAAAATATTATTATAATGGATAAGTAATCAGTGAATTCCTGTTCTAATAGACAAGTAATCAGTGAATTCCTATTATAACAGACAAGTAATCAGTGAATTCCTATTATAACAGACAAGCAGTCTGCAGCTTTAAAAAAAAATGAGCAGTAATCTGTGACCTCCTTTTATAATAGACAAATTTACTAAAATATTACAGTGCAGTGGTTCCCAATTAGCTAAGACCTCGGGACCCCACATATTTTAACACTCAGAGGACCCCACAAACTGTAACAGTCAAAGGATCAATCACATTTTAATAGTCAGAGGACCCCACACATTTTAAGAGACAAATGATACCTCACATTTTAAAAGTCATGCTGAAGAACTTTCTAATGATTCAATGTTACAATCTCTCTCATGCACGCGCTCACACACACACAATATATTCTAGGACTTAGGTTTTTTAAATTTTATCTGACATCAGACCCCTTAGCTTTGTTTGGGTCTACGGACCTCTAAATAGGCACACTGTTATAGTGAATGCAGGGGAAAACCTAACATAAATTAGTAGTATTACACTGTCAGGGTGTATAAAATACTCAAGGAAAATGCATTGTGAGATATGGTAGGACTTACCCTGACTAACGGACAGAAGTTCTCCACATCGTTTTTGTTATTGTAATCGTAATTCTCAATTCCGTCATCCACACCTATTGATTCTCCTGTATGATGTTTGATCTGTGGATTAGTTTAAAACATGTCAAGTTCAAGATAACAACCACTAGGCTAACTGTACTCGTAATAATGGATGCCATGAATCATGCTGTGTGTGAGGGCACGTAAGGTAAGAAATAGGGGCAAAGGAGAAAATAAGTTCCGACAGGTTAAAAGCTAAGCATTTAAGAAACTGTTAGCTGTGTATCCTCTACAGGATGCTACAGAACCAACCCCAGCCTTTTTTTTTAAATTATTTTTTAGCTGTTGTCTTTTTTCTAGGCAAATTTAACGTTCAGTAGCTTGTCACTGCTTCTAAATGATCCATGCCACCGTCGAACCAACGCAAAACGAACTGCTGCTAAATTGCCTGCTGCTGGAATCGAACCCGGCACCCTGGCATTACAAAACACGTTGGCAACACCTTAGCCACAGATGCCCATGTTTCAGAATGAACATGTCAAAAATATGTAATGCCAATAACAGTTCTGAAACCTCATGTACTTATTATGGAAGACTTTTCCTACTGGTCACACACGGCCTGTGATTCCTATACCTAACATTCTTCTTCTTCCTTCCTCTACTCCTGGAATACCTTACAATGTCAGGGCATAAAGAGATCTCCAGAAGAAGCCTTTCTGTTCCCTTTGTATAAAGTAATCTTCACTGTTGCCTGGAAAGATGAAAAGGTGCCAACTATTCATAACAACAGATACAGAACATGCACACAAAACGCACACACAGAAAGAAAGAGAGCCACACTAGATGCCTCTGAGCTCATTATCCTCCTTATCATAAAGGTCCTTTGCATCAGAAACCATGAGACAGATTCTCAATTCTTAACCACTTCTGGCTTGTAAGTTAGCAGCCTGCCTTTTGTCTCCGAGAAAACTCAGGAAAGGTCAGGAAGCAGTGATGTTAAAGGTCAGGAAGCAGTAATGTTAAAGGTCAGGAAGCAGTAATGTTAGAGGTCAGGAAGCAGTAATGTTAGAGGTCAGGAGGCAGTGATGTTAGAGGTCAGGAGGCAGTGATGTTAGAGGTCAGGAGGCAGTGACGTTAGAGGTCAGGAGGCAGTGACGTTAGAGGTCAGGAGGCAGTGACGTTAGAGGTCAGGAGGCAGTGATGTTAGAGGTCAGGAGGCAGTGACGTTAGAGGTCAGGAGGCAGTGATGTTAGAGGTCAGGAGGCAGTGATGTTAGAGGTCAGGAGGCAGTGATGTTAGAGGTCAGGGGGCAGTAACGTTAGAGGTCAGGAGGCAGTGATGTTAAAGGTCAGGAAGCAGTGACGTTAGAGGTCAGGAGGCAGTGATGTTAGAGGTCAGGAGGCAGTGACGTTAGAGGTCAGGAGGCAGTGATGTTAGAGGTCAGGAGGCAGTGACCTTAGAGGTCAGGAGGCAGTGACCTTAGAGGTCAGGAGGCAGTGACGTTAGAGGTCAGGAGGCAGTGATGTTAGAGGTCAGGAGGCAGTGATGTTAGAGGTCAGGAGGCAGTGATGTTAGAAGTCAGGAGGCAGTAACGTTAGAGGTCAGGAGGCAGTGATGTTAAAGGTCAGGAAGCAGTGACATTAGAGGTCAGGAGGCAGTGATGTTAGAGGTCAGGAGGCAGTGATGTTAGAGGTCAGGAGGCAGTGACGTTAGAGGTCAGGAGGCAGTGATGTTAGAGGTCAGGAGGCAGTGATGTTAGAGGTCAGAAGGCAGTGACCTTAGAGGTCAGGAGGCAGTAATGTTAGAGGTCAGGAGGCAGTAATGTTAGAGGTCAGGAGGCAGTAATGTTAGAGGTCAGGAGGCAGTGACGTTAGAGGTCAGAAGGCAGTGACCTTAGAGGTCAAGAGGCAGTAATGTTAGAGGTCAGGAGGCAGTGTTTTTAAAGTCAGAAGACAGTTGTTAGAGTCATGAAGCAGGAGGCTGTGTTGTTCGAGTCAGGAGGCAGTTGTTAAAGTGAGGCGTCATTGCTGTTAGAGTGAGGAGACATTGCTGTTAAAGTGAGAAGACATTGATGTTACAGTGAGGCGACACTGCTGTTAGAGTGAGGAGACACTTCTATTAGAGCGAGGAGACATTGCTGTTAGAGTGAGGAGACACTGCTATTAGAGCGAGGAGACATTGCAGTTAGAGTGAGGAGACTGCTGCTGGGGCCAGGACACAAAACAGCCTCACCGAAGAAGGAGTGGAGACAACCAGGAAAACTGTGCATTCACAGGATAACATTTCAAACCAAACTCACAAATTGTGTTTTCCAAATGACAATCTTACCATTAAATGAGGCTTGTGAAACAAGCGGAACAGCCTGTCCTGACTGTCCAGCTGTTGATCTTCTGGTAATGTTGTGCGTTTCTTCGTGTACTTGGCCCAGGTTGCTTTGGTAACAGTTGTGGTTTTGCAAGGTTTAAAAAATGCATCCAGCTCATTCTCTGGTGTATCATAAGTTAACTTCATGGCCACCTTCTTCTGTTTTTTCTTTTGTGTTTTGTCCTGGCTATCTTCGTTTTGAGCTGCAATAAATAAGACAGTGACTAGGTTAGTAAATATTATTGTTTAGACTATTTTGGGTGTGTTGTTGACACCTTTCTGTCTTGCCAGGTGATTGTCAGCCAACAAGATATTTTTTTTTAAATAATACTGCTTACTAACTTCACTTCAGAATACTACACTCACAACCTGGGCTAACAGGCACATGTTGGAGCAGTCTCGGATCAGAATTTGAAACAATTAAATAATGAGTTTATGACATCCTTATCTTCTTCTTTTTATCTCTTATTAGAGCAGTTGACCTCCATCAACTCATTCAAAGTCATATTTTCAACATCCTATATGGATGTAACACCAAATTGTTTTCAAAATGAAATACTCGATGTGCATTAAGGTTCAAATCCCAAGTGAGCAATTTAGACAAAAAGAGACAATATTCCCATAGTTTGCAGTACAGCCAATCTCCACTGCGGAGAAGTTAGGTCAAGAAACTTTTCTACAACTTCAGGAGTATTAGGTATTTTGAAGACCAATCGGCACTCGGTGCATGATGTGGTCAACATCATGCTGGTTGCCTTTACTTCCCAGGAATTTACCTGGTACCCATTAAAGGCTGGGAGCCAAGGTCGTGTAAAAAAAAAAAAATTCTGGCTCCATGCACTGGGGAGAAAAAACACTTTATTTATTCATTATTATTAAGCAGCTTAAAACATTTTTTAAAAGAAGCCTTCCTAATTTATTTTATACTGTGTTTGAATATTTAATCTTACTTACTAATTCTAGAGGCTGGGGCTACTCTCCAATGGGCCGGCCCTGCCCATGTTCGTAACAGAACTTTATTGAAGTACGAGTAATCAGACGGTTCTAAAGCCAAAATCTGACGCAATTTGCCCACACTTCCATGTCTGAAAATATCACAAATGTATCAATGTATCACAACTGGGTTCATGTTATCAGAACTGGATGAATGTATCAGAACTGGGTTTATGTTATTTGGACTGGATAACTATTAGAACTGGATAAATATATCAGAACAGGGTTTATATATTAGAACTGGATAAATATATCAGAACTGGATTTAGGTATTAGAACTGGACTTATTTATCAGAACTGGGTTTGTGTATCAGAATTGGACTTATGTAAAGTAAATGGACAAATGTATCAGAACTGGATTTGTGTAAAGCAAATGGATAAATGTATCATAACTAGCCTCAAGTATAACAAATGGATAAATGTATCAGAACTAGACATGTAAAACAAATGAATAAATGTATCAGAACTAGGCTTAAATATAACAAATAGATAAATGTATCAGGGCTAGACTTGTGTAAAAACAAATGGATAAATGTATCAGAACTAGACATGTAAAACAAATGGATAAATTTATCAGAAATAGAGTTAAATTTAACAAATAGATAAATGTATCAGAACTAGACATGTAACACAAATGGATAAATGTTTCAGAACTAGGTTTGTGGAAAACAAATGGATAAATGTATCTGAACTAGGTTTGTGTAAAACAAATGGATAAATGTATCAGAATTAGACCTAAGTAAAACAAATGGATAAATGTATCAGAACAAGACTTATGGAAAACAAATGGATAAATGTATCAAAACAGTGAAAAGATTTTTTTTTAAACTATAATTTTTAAGGAAATATATATTACAACCTGCAAGAAATATATGAAGGTACAAAAGATAGACAAATGTGAAGCAAAGTTACACCTAGACCAAATCATGTACCATTTTCACAATAAAGGTCAGTTGTAATGGATTTCCAGCATTGTGTCTCTTTGGTCAAGACGTTACACCCAACATCCTTGTCCCAGCCCTCCTCCTGATCTATGATCTCAATTAAATATACTAGAAGCTGTGGTAGCACAGGGCTGTAATAAACCAACATGCCAGCCTTGAAGTTGTACATTTATACCTCAGTGAGATAAATGAATACAAGGGAAATGGGTTCTCAGGTCACGTCCCAGCTCTAAATATTTACTAGAAAATTTCACAAGGCAGCCTGCATGATGTTACTGCCCACATCGAGCACCAACTGGTGTGTATAAATAAACATAAGGATAGCCCTATATGCTCAGAAAGCCATGGTAGCTTAGACACTTGCCTGCCAGCTTACAGATATTGGTTTGAATCTGTATTGTGGCTGATTGTTTTCCTTTTCCTTTAAAATTTACTGTGACTTCCAAGTCAACCCAGCCGACAATGGTTACCAGGTAATGATCTGAGAAGCAATGGCAGCCAGCTTGATGTTGACCACACCACCCAGAGTGCCAGCTGTTATATAAAAATGAGTCCAGCAACATGTTCTCAATTAACCATTTTTTGTTGTTGTTGCTTACTTTACACTCAAAATACTCTATGGCATGGAAATGGTACAGTTTGAATGTATACTACAGTTGAATACTAGTAAAATAAATCACTCTTCCAGCATGTTGCCAGTTTTGTCAGGACTGCCGCCTGTTAAACTTAGAGTAATTAGCAGTGTGTGTGGTACTAGAAGACAGCAACTATGGAGTGGTCCATTCGTTCATTATCCTGTTGCACCATTAAATGTCACACTGGGATGGCAGTCTATCCCTCCATTCAGTTCTATTCTGTGCAATGGGTTCAATACCAATGATGGAATTCAGTCCAGCAGCTTTAGCATCATTCGTCTTAGGGTTTCTCTTGAGTGTCTTCACCTCTTTATCCCTTTATTTCCCCTTTTAATGCCTCTTTTGTGATTTTTATTTTGTTTTTTCTCAAGATGTGTTCATTATAGTGTTGTCTTCTCTGTCTTAAAACTGTTGATACTAGTGGTTGCCCAGACATTTTTCTTATTTCTTCACTCCATTTTATTTTCATAATTTTCCTCAGAGTAACCCACTGCCATGAAGTTAAAACCACGACTAACTACTAACTACTTCACCAGGACCTATACATCATCATCAGGTGCCTTGCCGACTGGCGTGGGCAATCATGCCTCTCCATAATCTGCGATCGCCTGCAGCATGTACCTATACATACAATGACTTATTCCGCAACCTGTACATACACGACCAGCAGTGTTCTGTAATAATTCTTGTTTCTTATGTTTCTTACGTGAGATCACTGAAGGCACTTTCCACAAATTCAGCGGTACGTGAATCCCCAGCAGAAAAAGCATCTGCCTCACTTGTCATGCCTCCAGATTCTGCAGAAACCAAATCTTTAGTTAATGCATATTTAAGTGAGCAATACACTGTGAAAACTAATTCTGTAGTTAACCACTTAAGTGGGTCTAACGGATGTCTGCCAACTCTCTGCAGGCAGTAGCTAGTGGATATGATGAGTTCCATGCTGGTATTTTGCACTGCTGTGTTCGTTAGAGTTTTCAGGACTTGGGAGAACTCATCAGTTGTTAGAGGGTGTTTCTGTTTTTGGTTCAAGTGCAGCAACCATGTCACCCCACTGTGGTGCCAGTCTAGCCAGCTTTGCGTGTACATGACAACAACTGCAAGGAACTTTACTAAAAACTATTTCTCGCCTCATAACCATTCTGAAATTACCTCAAATCAGCAAAAAAGGGGAGACTATCTCAAGTTTATTGTTAGGCAGATATGACAGTGGATTTGATAATGAGTTTGATAAGAACTTCCATTCTTTAGGAAATTATGCATGAACCTCAACACAAACGATTCTTTTTAATAAAAGGAATTATTTAATAATCCCTTGTTAGAAAAGTAATTAATATCACAATGGAATTCTTTAATTTATAGACAATAGCTTGAAATTCGAGCAGTCTGAAATAATCCCCCCCCCCCCCCATGCAAGTACTAGGGCATTTCTACATTACTCACTTAACAGGTTATAAGCTTTTACAGTAAAAGTACTGCACACATAAAAAGAAATACTGTAAAAAAAAATTGTTGTTACATTTTTAGATGCTTGCTTGTAACTAAGCCACAATCCTATAACTGTTAAAGTAAAAAATGTAACAGTACTGTACAAAACAGTAGTTTGGAAATCACACAACAAAACTCTAACAACTATCGATAACGAGACCTTAAGCAATGCATTTAGAGATTAAGAGACACAGAAATACCAAGGAAATGAGGCCCAGACAAACCTAAGGGCTAACTAAACAATCATGGGTTAAACCCCCAAAAAAACCAAGGCAATACATCTATTCTTAAGATATTAACTATTTTGTCCTATCCCCTCTGTTCTTAAAGGCTAGAGTAGATTAGAAACAGAGATACGATCCACCTGAGGTTCAAAGTCTACAGTAAACAATACCGTAAATTAGGTTAAAAACATCCAGAATGTACAGAGGGCACAGAAAACCAACTCTAGCACATTAGTACCCATTTCCACACAATGTTTTTATAACAATTTTAGAACAGACAGAATGGAATGAAGCTCATCAGGTTTTATACCAAATGGAGCCTTTAAACAGAAAAACAGATGTGCTGTAACCAGACTGCAAAGGGAAGTTCATAATATATATCTCAGAGATTTTACACACCTAATGTCAGTTTTTATAAAATGCTTCTGTGAGTCGTGCTCTAAATTTCATGAAGGAGATCAAATATTCACCAAACACGTCAGTGTTTTGTAAGTAACCAAGTGGTGCTATTAGAAATAAACATGGCTGTGTAGGTATTTTAACAGATCACAACAAATGTTAATTTGATTTAACACAGAACTAATGTTTAGTCAGTTATTTTCACAATTAATTTTAAACAATACTTACACAATCAATGTTTATTTGGCTACTTTTGCAATTAATTTTGGTAAATTTTCACGTTAGCAGCGAATCGTCCAGACCAGTCGGTACTCAGTGGGTGATATGGTCAACATCACACCGGCCTACTTCACCTTTTAGGACTTTACCTGGTACCTAGTTTACCTAGCAGCCAAGGACATTGTTTAAAAAAAAAATCTGGCTCAATGCGGATTTGATCTCAGACCTTTGGGTGAGCATCTAGTCGCTATGCCTCTGCAGCATCGACAATTAATTATATAAATTAATTATATAATTGTCCCTTACACAATCAATGTTAATCTGCAAATTACACAAATCAATGTCAATTCTGCTAGCAAAACAATCGATATTGATTTTGCAATTATCTAGTGCCTTGAAATCTACCACTATAGTCTTCTGTATTCATATTTATAAATATATCTATCTGTTCCCCAAATTTATATCTACTTGGTATTCAACCAAGGGAGACTAGGCTGTGTGCCTTGATTATTTTATAAAGGGGCTAATATTATAATACTCTAGAATATTTTGTGAATCGCTGTGGCAGAGCGGCTAGACGCTCGCCGCAGATCAGAAGGTCATGGGTTCGCTCCCTGGCGAAGACGGACTATTTTCAAAAATGACCTTGGCTCCCAGGTCGACCCAGCCTTGAGTGGGTTCAGGGTGCAGTCCCGGGAAGTAAAAGGCGGCCCGCGTGATGCTGACCACATCACCCATCTTGTGCCGATTAGTCTATAAAAATATAGGCTAGCCCTATATGCCTAAAGGCGTGGAAAAGGGTCCTTTACTCTTTTTTTCACTAGCATATTTTAACATAATGTTTTTATGTATTCATAAATGATTTTCTCTTCATGTTTTACTGACTTATTGAGAACTAACAAGTTTCTGGAAACATTCAATTTAAAAAACAAAACACAATACCAATCATGTGCCTTGACAGTAATGTCAATGGTCATGTTTCATCACCTCATATAATCACTGGAATCATGGATCAGGTCAGTGTTATTTCCTCACCCCTTACATATGGCCTAGCAATCAAGCTGTCTCCTCTTCACCCATCCCTTGCTCTTTTCCCATCCATCCTGCCAGTTGTAAACAAGTTCCTCAGACCATTCCTTCTCATAACACATCAAATCAAAACAAACCCCTTAAAAAAATTGTTTCACTGAAAACAAAAAAAGACTGGGAAAACTGACAGTCTCTAATCAGTTAATGGTTTTCATCTGTTTCAATGAAGACTGCATATTTTGTGTATGCCGCTGGCTGTTTCAAGGAAGACATGCCTATTTTGTGTGTGCTTCTAGCTGTTTCAGGGAAGACTACCTATTTTGTGTATGCTACTGGCTGTTTCAAGGACTGACTATTTTGAGTATGCTACTAACTGTTTCAGGGAAGACTGCCTATTTTGTGTATGCTACTAGCTGTTTCAGGGAAGACTGCCTATTTTGTGTATGCTACTAGCTGTTTCAAGGAATACTGCCTATTTTGTGTATGCTACTGGCTGTTTCAAGGAAGGCTGCCTATTTTGTGTATGCTACTGGCTGTTTCAAGGAAGGCTGCCTATTTTGTGTATGCTACTGGCTGTTTCAAGGAAGACTGCCTATTTTGTGTATGCTACTGGCTGTTTCAAGGAAGACTACCTATTTTGTGTATGCTACTGGCTGTTTCAAGGAAGACACGCCTTTGTGTGTATGCTACTAGCTGTTTCAAGGAAGACTGCCTATTTTGTGAATGCTACTGGCTTTGCCGAGACCATAGTCTGCATAATTTTTTTTTTTAAACCAAGGAAAGTAATGGGCATTCTGTGTGGTTTTCGCTGGCGCAGGACTGGAGCAACTATGGGGTGACCAGTCCAGTTACCAGCTTTATTTGTGTTTCTATCATTTTGTGATATTCTTTGGATCTAAAAGAATAAAAATAATGCATGCGACAATAACCTGGTTGATCATCATCATCCAGATCAGCATCATTGATGTCCTCGTGTGCTATAGCTTCCACTTCTTCTTCAACCGTTGGCAAGTGTTGGGGTTCTGCCAAGGGGTCGAAAGCAAAGTCTGAGAATTTTGGGGGGACCACAGATGTCTGCAACAGGAAATGAAAACTGTACATTTTAAAAAACACACAAGAAAACAAAATATTTTTTGTGTGGAAAAAGAGACAAAATACTCTGGTTTAGCTTTAACATAAAATAGATCACGTCTCTGAGAAGGCCCATGTGTTTTGTCCTTTTTATTTTGTTAAATTTTTAATGTCTAGTTGCTTTTGATTCAAAAAGCCACTGTTCGGATGAAAAGCCTACAGAGGTAAATCCCAACTCTGTTCATTCATCTAAAAAATTTTATGAGAGCACCCTGCCGTAAGGAAAAAACTGCATTCAAACATGGACAAGTTTATAAAGGGTGTTTTGCCAATGCCTGTTACTAAAAAGATATTTTATATCGAATTAAGAGCACTACAATAGTTATTAAGTCTTCCTTTGTAGTCTGAATAAAGCATGAATGAAGTCAATGGGGAAAATCTTATTACATGTTAAAATGTATTAACTCTTGTCAGTCCCAGAAGAAATGACACAGAGGGACATAAAACCACAAAGTGTATAAGTTTCACAGAAGCTCAGAGGAAATGATCACTTAGAAGCCAGATTTCTTGAGTGTGCCCGCACCAAATGTAAAAGTCAGACAGCGCCAAATAGTTGTTCTTCACTAGGATTTTGTACAATTAGTAATTCTAATGGACTCACAGAGCATGCTTTAGAAAATCAATACAGGCATTCTGTCAGCAGAGTGGCTTGAATAACTTGACAAGACTCAAATCAAGAGCATATTGTGTTTTTTCTGTCCAGGATGTTCAGGTATATGAGATAATGAGCAGGCTAATAGATAAGTTGTGCTCCTTTGGGCAGTGAGCTACTTTATATTATGATAAAGCAGACGTGGAGGTTCTCTATTATCAAATGGTCTGACAGAACAGTCTGACAATACTGAGGATAGAACAAAAGATTACTATATGGCAGTGGCTCTCAAACCTTCTTAATGCTGTGACCCTTTAATAGTTTCCACTTGTTGTGGCGGCCCCCAAACAATTATTTCAATGAATATGTGTTTTACAGTGGTCTTAGGCGACCCTTGTGAAAGGGTCGTTTTACCTCAAAAAGGGCCGCGACCTGCAGGTTGAGAACCGCTGCTATAAAGGATTCAACAAAAGATACTAAAAGGGAATTAAACAAGTGCTTACTGAGGTGGTAAGAGAGTGCACTAACCACCTTGAAGGTTATGAGTACCTTTAAAATCTAAACACAAAATGACTGGTCTTTTTTCTCTCTCCTGGGGCAGTAGTTTTTTTAACAGTGGAGCAATAATACTCTAATTATACACTATATATTTTTTAATACTGTAGTAGTGCTGACTGAAATTTTTTGGTGGGACAGCTTTGGAAAGACCCCCCCCCCCCCTTTTCAATATAATTTAAAACAATAAATGCATTTGGATAACCTAAGCAAATACATGCACAAGACACAACAAACACAAAATGTAATTTGAAAACCTTAATCACAAAAAGCAGATTTAAATTTGCAAATTAAAAGGAATAGTTTACACTAGTTCATAGAGTCCCTTAAAGCTAAGGCACATTCAATGAAAACCAACTGTTTAGGAAAAAGGATCTTGATTTAATTATTTAAAAAATAATTAACTAATTTAAAATTTTTAGCATGTTCAACAAAAGGCCACAGGCACCTTCTTCATCAAATGTCAGTGACATCATCTAGAATATTGGATCTACTTAAAACTCCAAGTAGAACTTGTCCGCATTAATGTTCTTCAGGTAAATCTCCAGTGTAGGCTTATCTTGTGAAAGGGAAAAGGGGGGGGGGGGGGGGGGGGGGGGGGGGGGGGGTAAATAAATGAACTTACTTCTCCATTCCAGCCTGTGAAGAAGAACTCTGCCAGGGAAGGACAGATTTGTTTATCCTCTATACTGAGTTCCTTCAACAGTTCTGTAAGTAAAAACAATCAATGTAGAACAAACATTTTATGAGACAGATTTGTAACGTGTATGGCAAATTAACATACCACAAAAACAAACAAAGGACCCTTCTTACACCTTGACATGCATGGGGCAGATGGTGCTAGCTGTATTTTTATATACCAACTGGCATTTCTTGGGTGACATGACCAGTATACAATCATTTTGCAGTACCCACTAGCAGCAGCAAATGTATAGTAGAAAGAATGTCAAACCTTTTGAAAGAAGGGGGAACATAGCAGGTTCCAAGTGTATGTTAGCAACTGGAAGCTATAAACAGTAAGCAGACATTATGACAAACATTTCATAAATTAGAAAATTTACCCACTAAAGAATGGTGGCATAGTGTGTCAAAGAAGAACTAGAACATATTCGAACAACTGAAAAGATTTATGGTAAAAAGAGAGAAAGACAATAAAACAATATTTAGGAAAGGTATGATGAACATATAATAAAACTGGCACTGGTACCATCAGAATGTGGATGCCTGCAACTGGCTGCTGATGTTGTGGATGGAGTACTCTGAATTTGGTAATCTTAACTCCTCAATGAGATGAGATTCTTGACAATGTTTCATAATGGCATTTACAAAACAACGGTACATGCACTGATGTTTCTGCAGCAAACTGATCGAACCGTTTGTCTTGCATTCTGAAGGTCGCAGGTTCATTTCAGTTCACAAATGCCACAGATCCCTAGGGATTGTTGCTGGAGCTACACAGTTTATGCTTTATGTGACATTCTTGGCAGACAGCAAGCTCATCTGTGGAGAAAGGCTATGCTATCTGGGATAACCTAGTGCAATGAAGTCAATCCTCTCAAATTTTGCATTCTACTGAAGACTGCAAGATGTGGCAAAGTGTGATTTCTTATATTTAATGACCCAGTAAAATTAACACCAGCTGCCACTGATATCAAACAGTGAAGGCAAATTCAAACAAAATGATGTGCTGAATTCAAACATGGCAGCTGAAAGACTCACTGCTGGTATCTTTACTATAAAATATATAAAAACTAATGGGGTTCTCCTCGGTTAAGTGGTCATGGCATTTTCTTTGTGCCTCAAGGTAGTGGGTTTAATCCCATGGTTCAATGTTTGGTTCACAAAGGCTATTCTATTTATTTATTTTTAAAAAAATATTTTTTTTTAAAGGAAATTACTGCTGGCTGTAAAGAATTTTTTCCTAGGCAACAAGAGTAGTGATCCTGTGAACAGAAACTGAGACAGATGGAGTAAAACGATGCCATAAAGTCATTTGTCTTACCTTAAAAATTATTATACAACAAATGTTTTTTTTTTAAGAATAAATCTTCTTCTGCAACAATTTCTGGTCATGTGTTTAATCCATTGTGGGCATATACTGGCATAATGGACATGTTATCTGTATGTACAAATAACATACAGTTATTTGTATGTGTCTATTCCTTCCAACCAAGAAAAACAAAATGGTTGATACCTTCCATTTCTGAGGTTAGCTTTTTTTTTTTGAGTTTGCTCTCTAAACAGTTACAGTCAAATGCTGAGGAGAAAAAAGGGAAGAAATAAGAAATACAACATATAAAGAAAGCCAAACCTGTGACAGAAGAGACATCAATAGGCTTCCGTGTAATTTGTGAATCAAACAGTGTGTCCTCGACAATGTTTACTGACGTTGAAGAGTCTAGTACAAGTTGTTGTCTGTCATCAAAGCATCGTAGCCTGTTCAACAGAAGGCCACGGGCACCTCCTTCATCAAAGGCTGCTGACATCATTTGAAACATTGGATCCACTTCAAACTCCAGGTCAAACTTGTCCACATTAATGTTTTTCAGGTTAGTCTCCACAGTGTTAGCTTTTCCTGCCTACAGATTAGACAAAAGAATATATTCAAAGTTGTATGAATGGTGGATTACCAAAAACAAAAATCAATAAACCTGACCTCAAGATGCACCAATAAATTCTCTGCCTTTCTCAGCAGAATACTGGGCAATCATGGGAGTGATCATATGCCAGGCTTAGTCTTAATTTCTAAAGCTGGCAATATCAGGGCCGTGAGAAAGTGCAAGACTTTTAAGTTTGAGAGGGCCAGTAACCTTCTTGGACGCCTTTGACAGAAGGTATACAGCAGAACCACCAGCTCTGCTTTTGTGCAGCCTCTATGGTAGACCCAAGAAGTGGAACAGGCATGGAGAGCAAAGCAAGCAGCAGTTAAACAATTCAGAAAGTACGAAAGACCTCACAGGCTATAAGAGGATGTATAGATGCTAGAAAGAGAAAAGAAAAAGTAGAAGAGTTCAAGCAGTGTGCAGCAGATGCAAAGAAGGCTAAATGGTAACATTTTATGAGTGAAATGGGAGGGAATAAACCACTGGGTAGATTTTAGAAATGTCACATTTGCAAGGAAGGATCGGCCTATTACAACAGGTATTATATACACTGATAATGAATGGTATGCCAAGACAACAGTCAAAGAGAAAGGGGAAACATTTTTGGAGAGATTTATAGCTTAAACTAATCATAATGATAGAGAACTTAGAAATTAAATTAGAGATAATCTGTCTAATACTATAAATTATAATTATTTTCGGGATATTATTAGGTTGGAGGATATAAAATATATATTGCAAAAAAGAAAAGACACTGCACTTGAGCCAGACGGAGTCAGGTATGTCCACATGAACAGCATGAGTGATGAAGGCTTGAGGGAGATGGCTTATCACTTCAACCAGAGCATCAGAACAGCTTCAGTAACCAAGGATTGGGTGCACATCTACCTAAGTCCTAAATCCAGGCAAAGATCATTCCATACTCAGCGATTTCAGGATAATCACCCTACAAAATACTTTCGGCAAGATGCTTGAGAAGATTACTGCTGTTTAACAACAAATTTTTTTTGGAAAGGGATGAGCTCCTGCCAAAAGGTTTGGGTAGTTACCTGCCACAAAAAGATACATGGTCTAATTCAGCTACTTTTGCTTTTAATGTATATAAGGGGTCTTAGAATAGACAGGAGACAGTAGTGGCAGCACGATCTTCTTTATGCCTAACATAATATGTGAGGTATGATATTTTCATATCTGCCAAAAGGTTTGGGTAGTTACCTGCCACAAAAAGATACATGGTCTAATTCAGCTACTTTTGCTTTTAATGTATATAAGGGGTCTTAGAATAGACAGGAGACAGTAGTGGCAGCACGATCTTCTTTATGCCTAACATAATATGTGAGGTATGATATTTTCATATCTGCGCTCATGGCGAAGGGGGTTTGTCTGTGGCTGGTGAACTGGATAGCAGCTGTTGTGCATTCACATATGGCTGCCCTTCGCCTGGTTACATGGACCACAGAACCATGTAATATCGCCTCAGGACTACCCCAGGATTTTGAAATTGTGTCCGTTCTCTTCAATGTATGCAAACAAGATTGCAGAACTTCAAGCACAAGATACTGACATTCGCAGATCATGTTCTTGCATGTAGGCAGGGGAGCGATAGGAATCAGACAGCACAAGAATTAAAGGTTCCAACTCTAGTAATGCTGGTGTAAAATATCCTGCAGATCCGCATAAGAGAAGGCAAAAATTTAACCGAGTGTGTCCACGGATGATCCTGATTATGAACAACAAAAATGCAAACCCCAAAATTGAGTCTCATCCCATGTGTAAACTCACCTTCTTTTTCTTCTTCGGCTTCATGTCTAATTCTCCAGTTTCTCCAGTGTCTTCAATTGTTTCGGCCTCTGGGAAATTGATAAAATCAACACAAACATCAAGCTTCTGAAATACAATTTTCAGATTGTGGATTTTTTTACACAAACAAAGATGCAAACAGTGAAGAATGGAGAGGGAAACAATAGTTCATAATCAGTTTGAATCACCACAAATTTTGGCAACATGAGGGCCAATAGACTGTAACAGTTGGGGCACACAGAAAGAAGCAGATAACAGTGAAACAAAAACTACAAACAAAGAGTTGAATTGGAATGTTGAATTGTTATCTTCAGCAGCAAATGAGTTCCAATTCCAGTGGTACCAGCAAATGTCTGACTGTATATCTGTCTCGACCTTCGTTTGAGCATCGGCCACATCCTCTGGTAACTCCCTGCAACGCCATTCTGCTCAGACCAAATTGATCAGTTTGTGCCTCCACACTGCCCCCAAAGGGCCCTCACAACATCCAGCTTGTCACACAATAAGAGTTGAATGGGAGCAGGCCATGAAGTAGGCCAATAAGTTTGTAGGTAGATAAAATACAGGCAGATCTACAAATAAATCTGAGGCTATCCTCCAATAACAGCCCCAAAATATTGAGGCCGAAATATACCTTAACAGGGCCTCAGTCACATCTAAATTGTGGACCTCTTTCTGGTGACTATACTGTCACTGCCGAGAGTATCTCCTGTGCCGCTAAACGCGGCTAAACTAGATGGCTGGGTTTAACCAGCATTTTGTGAGCCAAAAAGTAAAAATCTTAACCCCCCCCCCCCCCCCCCCAAAATATATCATCAAATAGTAAATGAATAATGAGTACCTTCATGTGAACTTTTCCCGCCACCAAGACCACTCAGCACTTTATATGTGTGCGAATGTATGAAGTCTACACGTCCAGCATATATCTTCACACTGGCATCCAAGGTTGAGCTTGCCACCTAAACATTTGAAATAGATACTTTCAAGTAAGACTAATTCCTAATATACAAGCTGGAAAACAGCATATTAGACACGTCATCTGTTATTTATATCCAAATGGAGAACAAGCCTTCTCCTCAATCAATTCATGCCATTCTATATTTTTAACCCCCCCCCCCCCCCCCCCATCTTCATAGTTTTCAAAGCTTCTCCAACTGTCTTCATTTGCCAACACCAGTTCGGGGAAAATCACTTAACATATACCTGACCAAGCTCTTAAAACCAGCAAGATTATCTGGGGAACCCTTCAGGAGACTGAAATAACATGATAAATTAATCCGTAAGAACTGATGAGCACTCATACAAGCAAGGGAAGGAATGCCCTTTCTCCAAACTTTGAATGCTGACATCATTTTAAAACTGCTCCAATATGCTGTTGTTGCTGGGTTTCTTCTTCCTCTAAATAGATATAATATTAATATTCAAGCATTTAATGTAAATTTTTTTAATGCATTTTAATAATGCAAAATATATCAACATTAGGTATGTTTAATGATAGGTTAAATGGAGGGTGGGAGGGGGAAGATAGAGAAATGGCTGTCAGAGTGATACTGAAAAGTTGTTAGATGCAGGAAAAGAGAGCCTTGTGTCTGTGCATGCAAAGATATGATTTCACTTTTACCTGAAAGTTCTCCAGCTCTTTCTTCTTGACAAGTTCTGTCATGTAATCAATCAGATGAAGACCAAATGCATTTTTAGCATTAATTTTCTGAAACAATTTCAATAACAATGATAATGCACTAGTGCAAGATTTGTGTCTCAACATGACTTTCAATTAAAAGAGAAGAAAGTTCAAGATATCAAACAGGATTTACATTTTGTCAAGAATGAATTAATCAATCAATCCAGAACTGATATCACTGCACTCGGGACATTCCCTCAGGTGCTCCCTCCATTTCCTCAGTAACCAGCAGTGTTCCTATACTGATGATGCCAGTTGCAACTCTCTTAAAAGTTTACCAGTGTCGTTCCCCTCCTCCCCAACCCCAAGGGTAGAAAATCATCTAAACCTTCTGCTTATTACATTCCAGCTGGATAATTCTCTCCAGATAAGGATGCTACGTCTTTTTTTGTTGCACTGCTTACTTTACCCTAGACAGTTTTCACCAGATTTGATTTATCATAAAGTAACTCACAGTCCAGAGGAACGGTAGCAGCTAATCTATCAGTTTCACGCACACCAGAATATCCTGGGCAAAAAAACCAAGATATACTTTTTATCTGAGTTTTATCAAGCAGTGTAAGCCATTTTGATCACAAGACATTCGTTTCTACTTTCCGAAGCATGCTCTGTGAGTCTGTTATCATTACAACATTTTGAGCTGTACTGCTCTTTAGCCATCAGAAAGCTGCCAAAACTGCTATTGTCTATATTCTCATTCTAGACGTGACATGCAAGATTTAAAAAAAAAAAGTCCATTCCCCTTTGCAAAAAACCCTTCTCAACTCTTTTAAAATCTCCCTACAAGCTGAGCACCTGGGCGTATATTTTCATTTGCAAGAGCATCCACTCCCCCTCAGTCCAAAGTAACTTAACTATCCCTCAGTTGCGGCCCGCTCTGCTAGGCAACAATGTCATTAATTTGTCAAATAACCCAGGATATTATAAGGTAACGACAAAAACATTGTGTAAAATTCATCATCATCAAGAGTCTGCCTTCTGGAGTGAGCTATCATGTTTCTCCGCATATCATTATCTCTTACAGTATGAATTAATTCATCTGTTGGTATCTGTCCATACCATGTTGAAAGTCTATCAAGAATCCTCTCTAACTGCAATCCTCTTTTTTTTCCAGGTTGCTACAATATGTTCCAGTTTTTCACTTATCATAATTTGGCTAGAAAATGTTAATTGGTTCTTTCTGTTTGTGATATGTTATCCTTGTATCTTAGCTTCCTTATAAACAATTAGATTGCTTATAACGGCTGTTCAAGAATGTATAAACAAACTCAAATATTGGGTGACTGAGAATGCTGCTAATGTAACTTACATTTTCAGCAGAAAGCTTGATGCAATCAGCATAATGACTAGCCAGCTGTGTACTAGTCAATCCCTGAAGTGCTGAAGAATTCCTGCTGCTGACAGACACACAATGAAGATTTAAAACCAGCATTTAAACTACAGCTAGTACATAGAAAGGGAGTCGCCGTGGCAGAGGGATAAACGCGCGCCGCGGATCGGAAGGTCGTGGGTTCGCTCCCTGGTGGAGACGGACTTTTCTTCAAAAATGACCTTGGCTCCCAGGTCGACCCAGCCTTGAGTGGGTACCGGGTGCAATCCTGGGAAGTAGAGGCGGCCGGCGTGATGCTGACCACATCACCCATCTTGTGCCGCTGGTCTATAAAAATATAGGTCTAGCCCTATATGCCTAAAGGCGTGGAAAGGGTCCTTTACTTTAATACATAGAAACATTAACAGAATTCTGTTAAATAAAAAAAAAATTTAGGGGGGGGGAGGGCACCTTACGCTAAATTGTTCAACTATTACTGATGTATGCAACATGGCTTTTATTAAAGACTTTGAATTTAAGACAGTTTGCTCAGTTTCTTTTTTTTTCCATTTCATAAATGGCATCTTCGACAGATACAACTTATTTTTTTCCACACGGAGTATGAACAGTGTCTACTATTGTTGTCTTATGCACTGATTTATCCACTCGTTCTTGAAGAATTAAAATCTAAACAATTAAATTTTATGGTTTTCACGTTAAACATCAAATCAAAGTAAGAAACAAATGAAATCAGCAAGCCTTTTTTTCTTAAGAGCTAATGAGCAATAAAAACAAAACATAAATTATGAGCATATCTCGGAACCTTTTCAAAGATGTATTGATTAATGTGAACAAAGCCAATTATGAACAAAATTTCTCCCTCACATTGTATGTATTTCTGCACAACTTATCTATTCTCTTACGACAGTGCAGACAGAGGGAGGCGGTCCTTAAGCTTGAGGATTTAGGTTCTGGGGTTAGACCGCATAGATTAGGGTTTTATTTTTACAACTGACAGAAAAAAATCAGGCACCTTACTGAAGGGTGCTGTTCACGATAACCGTGACGCTGACCTTTCAGTCATAGCTTCTTGAACTCTTCTGGGTCACAGGGGTGTGCGAGTCTATTCCGCAGGACATATGTATATGTTGAGTGAACTGCGGCTCGGCATATTTAAAAGGTTGCCTGGCTAGCTGCGACAATTTACCCCTGCCCTCTCCACTTGCAACATCACACATAGCTCACAACCCTATGCCAAAGAGCAGTCCATAACCTAATTTAAACATCACGGTTACCGTGAATAGCACCTATTGAAGATTCAAATGTGGGTCTTCCAAGCTGAGTTGAGTTTTAAGAACTGACATCATAAGCGCTCAGTCCCCATCTTCAGCAGCCACCTCTGATGGTACCAGTAACTGGCTGACTGTAAGTCCGTCTTGCCTTTCCTCTTAGTGTGGAGTGTTAGTCATATCCTTTAGTCACTCTCTGTTGCACTTTTCTTTTCAGAATGTGATAATCTAAGTGTGCCTGCACACTGCAACTACCTCCCAATGAGCCTTGACAACATCTAGCTTGTCGTGCAAAAAATTACCACCACCAAATGGCTCAGAGCCAGCAAATCTGTCTGCATGTTCGTTTCCTAACGCACCTGCATACCCTGGAGAAAATATCTGAAGGATGCTAACTGAGTTAGACTCCTGAAGCAAAGCGTGCCACTCTGCATAAAGCTTTCCTATCTCCACCTTTCTCAGCATGCTTAGTCAGTTATAACCACAACATGAGTGTGCAGCTGACTCTCAAGCCAATAGAAGGCTGCAGTGACGGTCTTTACCCCCATTCTCAAACTAGATATTGTGATATCTTTATGCCAGGCTTTGTTGCGCTAAAGGTCATCCATTAGCTTTTGCTACAAACCCCCGAGCACTTCTGCCTCTCAGCACAGAGCTATCGGTTTAGACAAGCACATTAACTAGGTGGGAATTGGCATGAACAAATGTTAAATTTCTGATTCCGCAACACCTGCTGGCCAGTCACTGCACCCCCTATCGAATGTGATGAGAACCCAATAAAATTATGCTTATTCTCAGCCACTCTGATCCACTTCTCATCTAATATTTACTTACAAGCACATTCACACAGGTCTAATCATGTCTTCCACCTTTTCTGTCTGTGGTCGTTAACTATATCTAGATCTTCAGTCTTCTGAGTGAGAGTCCAGTTTCTTAACCACTCAGCCACATTAAATTGTTTCTGAGTTGTATTTTTCTTTTGGTAGCTTGTGTGTGTGTGTGTTCTCGCGCCTGTGTACACTGAACAATTATCAGAATTATTTAGTAAGAATTTTAATCATTCTGACACCTAAAATTATAATGTCCAGTGCCACCCAAAGGACACAAACTGTTCCTCCCTATGACATACAATGGAAAAAGTAGAAGTTGATATTACACGAAGAAGGCTGTTGACCAAGAAAACAATACCTTGGAGAGCTGGCACCTGGGCTTGTGAGAATTTTTCTTTGAAGATCAAAACCTAATGACTTCCTCCGTCTCTCCTTTTTCTGCAGTCCTTCATCTTGAACTAAATGTACATCAATAAAATATAAAAGATAAATGGAACCAACAATACATGCTACATCTTGACCTATCTAACTACCCTTGATTTTAATTTGTATTTAAACATCTAAAACCACTACCATAAATGCTAAAGACAGATTCATCAAAAACAGTTAACCATTTCATAAAATGAAGCACAACAAACTGAATAAACCCAACCGAATATGTTGCTGTTGTACTTAATTTTGTAATGATGTAACTCTGTAATAACACACCTGACAAGATACAACTATATATTCAGTTGCATTTATTCAGTTGGATGTGCTCCATGTTAACCATTTCTTAACTGATCAAACTGTGCAATGAATACAGCCTTATGTGCCATTAAATTAAACCTATTCTTCCATTCTGATCTATCCTCTGTAATTGTTTCAACACCATGGATGGAATCCCATCCAGTTCCTCCGGCCTCTTTCCTCAACTTTCATCTTATAGTTTATTTTGGATGTTATCTCCCATTTAAGTGCCTGTTTAGTGATACTCTGTTCCCTTTTCCTCAAGATGTGCCCAATATATTGACATCTTCTTTGGGTTTTTTCAACAGCTGTTGTGCAGACATTTCTCTCATTTCTTCCTTTATTGAATTCATCGTATTTAATGTTTATTTTCACAAGGAAACTGTTTAACTGTCCACACACAAATAAACCTACCAGGTTAGGTTGTTGCTGTTAGTTATATTGTGCTATGAGGAGACAGGGGACTCAGCACATGCCTTTCCATAGCACAAAACCTGGGCAGCACTGTAGAGACCATGTGTTGCCCATGCATCATGATTCCCCTCCCCCCCCCCCCCTTTTTTTTTGGCTTGCCTTGTTTACTCCAAAGGAAAGGTACCAGTACATTTGGAATAAAGGAAGCTGCAGAAGCAGTTGAATCACGAGAGCAGTACCCTGTTCGCCTGTCTGAGCTTCCCTCCTAGACCAGCTGCTAGCCAAGTCTAAGAGCCTATCTGTCCTGCAATAACATTTAAAGTTTTTAAGGTCGCATCTCTTTTTTCTAGGATAAGGCTAGTATCCACCCCAATGCGCTCCTCTGCCTGAAGCACAATGAGGAACGTCAGGTCTGGTATACGCTGCTCATAATTTGGCTTTAACAGAAGACAGGCAGTACTGGCTATTGTCATCTCTGACCAAGACCTGACCCACAAACTGGGTAATTATAAATATGTATTGAAACAATAGAAAAATAGAGGAAGGAAGGCTGATTATAAGATAAAAGTTAGCTGCCTATCCTTTACAGCCTTCACAAACCTACCCCTGGATGTATTGTCTGCTGGTTTTACTAGGCATACATCGAGCAGCAGACAAATTTGTGTTTAGTAGTTTACCACTGCTTCCTGGATAGTACTTCTTGCTCATTCATCTTTCTGAATGGTACAAGGCTCATCCTATTGTCAAAATAAATATAAAGGAGGCTGCCCCTAACTTGCACGCAGCTGATTTCAAACCCTAGTATGTTAGGACAGTGAAATTCTGTTCACAACCCCTGCTGCGGATGTAGAATAATACTTGAGTTTCTAGTAGTGGATTGTTAGTGTTTGCACATGTGACAACTATCTTATGCATTTATGTTGCATGTGTGACCTTTAAGATGTTGTTGAGACTTACATGTTGATCAACAGTTTATCAAACGGGACATTGAGGGACATTTTGCGTGATCTCTACCGGCAGAGGAATGCAGCAGTTATGAGGCAGCCTGTCTGCATTGAAACTAAAACTTCAATTCACGGCTTGGCAGTTTAAATTCATAGCATGGAAAGATACAAAAAAATGATCTGGTTTTTTTTTATCACTAAAGAAAGTAAACTGGAGAGAAACATGACTAAAAATGAATTAGAGGCATGCAACGTTGGTTTTGAATCCATATCATAGCACACTGGGCACATCCTCACATGTGTCGTCTTCCACAGTAAGTAATGTAAAGTATAGATGCTGACTGTTCTAGTAACACACTGGTTGTACATGTGTCATGCACTTTCCCCCCATTAGTCCTTTCTTGCCATATTCTCTCAGTATCTATATTTTAGCAAACCTCACATATTTTGTTTGATCTGACATTGTCTTCCTTTTGTTTATACATTGCCTTTAGAATCTGTAATTCGTTGAAAAGAACATAAATGCTGATACAAACCTGTAAAGTTGGCAAGATTTGGTGTGGGACTTGCCAAACCAAAAGTCTTGCTGGTAGATGGTGACAAAAACTTGTCTGGTGGTCGTCGTTGTGGTGTCAGGGGAGTGTTTGTTAATGGAGACAATACCTCTCTTTGGGCCATTCTTAGTGTCTACGTATTTCTACAATTGAAACTGGAAATAAAAGTACACACATATAAAAACAATTAACTCATAAATCATTAACTGTTACTGCCTTGGCAACAGAATTCAAATTTGTTACTACAATATTAGCATCACTGCAGGCCATTGTTGCCATTTTGGTAATTTTATGGCCAGATTCAAGAAATTCTGCCCTTTTTTTTAGTGGTTGGCCTAAAGGAAAGAAAAGGATTTGGCCTTTAGGCTGATTTTTTTTTTCTGGACTAAGCAACAAACTTTTTTTTTTTTTTAAATAAATGTATGTAATTATTAAAAGCAAACTCAGTGAATATACATACAATATGTTGTTTTATTTTAAAAAAACAAATCTGCTTAGTACTAAAGATTATGAAAGACTGTGAAAGGTTATATCACTTCATTTTTTTTGCTCTGATTCCCATCTCGAGCTACACTCTGAAGTCCTGTTACCTGTTTTTTTTTTTAACCAAGGCGACCCCAAAAAATGGAAACAATTATATTAGTAGTTATAAGTACAAAGCAATTGGAAAAAAGACTTTTGCAAGGGTCAAATGTTCTGATGGATCAGAAGATGCTTACTGCATGTAGTGGACTCACTGCTCATTAAAAATGTGAAAAACACAGAGGACTTCATCGCCAGCACAGAAAAAAACTTGAAGTGAAGAAGGCACCTAGACAAACAAACAATAAGGTTGAGCCAGCAGAACTTCAAGTGGCTGTATGTGTGTGGTGTGATGTCAGTGTACCATCAGTTCTGTCAACCACCTTAGTGAAATAATGATAGGTTACTGATGAGGGAGCATGTCTGCAATGCACTTACTGCATCCCTTGATATTTTAAAGAACTTGTCTACCAAAAAAAAATGTGTATGGTGTCGGCATAATGAACAGCAAATCAAATTAGGGTCCTTTAAATGTGGATATAGAAAATGGAAATGGCTTGGCCACATTATGAGAATGAAAGCTGATATTGTACTTGGATACCAGAGGAAAAGAGAAAGAAGAGGCGCCCAAAAACAACATGGAGATGAACGAAGGAAAGTGATGTGAGTGCGGCATCTCTGACATGGAAAACTGCACTGAAGATTGTTCAGGATAGGAAAACATGGAAAGTCCTCACTGAAGCCCCATGTGCCACTAAAGAGGAATTAATGTCATACAGTATAACAATTTCGGCTATCCTCCAAATAACGGTCCCAAATTATCGAGGCCGAAAATATACCCTAAACAAGGCCTCAGCCACATGTAAATTGCAGACCTCTTTCCGGAGACTATACTGCCACCACCGAGACTTATCTTCCGTGCAGCGGAATGGGAATAAACTAACTAGATGGCTGGGACGCACAAGCAAAAAAAAATGGAGGAAGCTGCATGATATGTGGTAGCTGCTGCTCTTGAGTCCCAGCCATCTAGTTTAGCACCCGCTCCGCGCGTATGCAGTGTAGTCACAGGAAAGAGCTCCGCAATTTGACGTGACTGAGACCCTGTTAGGGGTATATTTCCAGCCTTGATAATTTTGGTCCATTATTCGGATGATAGCCTAAATTGTTATACTGTATGTTACTTCACGGGAAAGATGCACTGCATGCTCTCAAAACTGATTCTGATCTCCTTACTGGTGCTTAACCCAAACTACTTTTAAATGTAGCTGTAACTGTAACAATTTATGTCAACAATGCAACTTATTAAATAATTTAAGACTTTTGTTTTCAAGTTGCTGACCAATCCTAAGCATCAAAATCAATAATTATAGATTATAATTATAGTATAACTATGATCTAGTTTTTTTGTTTTGTTTTTTTTTTTCAAATGAAATATTGGAGTAAAAAAAAAAAAAAGCAGGAACAGACAACATTTGAGCAACTAGAACTACACTTACAATGGATGTACAGTACAGCAAGTAGCAACAAGGCTAAAGACTGATCAAGAAAGATAAATGATGGAGAGAGTACTCGCTAATGTTAATAACTATGCCTCTATATGGTTAACACAATACTCAATACAGGCATTTAGCAAAAGACACGAAACTTATAACACTACAGTTAACTCCTCTCTGCGACATCATGAGCAGTGGGACAAGACAAACAAGAAGAGACAAGATTTTAAGAAAGCGAAATTATTAGGCATTACATTTAAAAAAATTTTTATGAGTTCTCAGTTTCTAAAAATAAGTAAAACTACTTATCTACTTACTATTAAGTACTTTTAAATCGATAAACAATGCATGATAATGATAGCATAACATAAATATTATTCAAATTACAATGAATGAGTAGTGAATGCTGAATGAACTAATATTTAAATAAAGTAAAGAAATAATTAAAGGAAGGCGAAGAGAAAACGATTTTTGTTTTGGATATTTTAATTATTTATGTTAATGTAATCTATGATTTTATTGATATATTATTATTATTTTTATAATGTAATTATATCATAATGATCACAATTACAAATGACCACCATCAATATTCGGTTATATTCGAATCAATCCAATTTTTAAAAATTTACAACGAACGTAACCGACTACTTACTTTACTTTAATTTATCAATAGCTTTATAAACTTTGTTTCAGTTTTGGTTTGAACAAATAAATCCACTATAGAGTACTTTCTTAAGAGACAAACAAGTCTTTAAAATAACTAGAAAATAATAAAAATATTCATCAACATGCAGTGTTGATGTCTAGCACATGAAATTTATTTTTCCAGACAAACAGTACAGGTTTTTAATAAAACCTTTGTATTTCCGTTCAAAGATGCCGCCCATTTTCGCGTACACATCCTGCTTGCCGGTTTATGCAAAACTGTGAATCAAAGAAATCAAACAAATACAAGTTAACAAGGAGCTGAGTTGAGTAAAGAACTGACATCACAGCATTTGGGGCATTCCCACGCGTGCTTTGTCCTCATATTCAGCAGCCAGCGCAGTTCCAATACTAATAGTGGCGGTTACACTCTGGTTATATTTCCTTCCTGCCTTTCCCCTGAGTGTAGTGAACCGGCCAGACCCTTTGGTTACAAGGAGCTGGAAATGGTATATGCCCTCCAACAAAGGCTGACCGTTTTAATGGACTCCTTATCTGCTGCTTATTGCTCTTAGAATGCCAAAATATACAGAAGAAGTGACAAACTATATGAGACATTCTTAGCTAAAATTTATCTGAATAAAGGATGCCAGTACCAGTGCTGGATTTAGGCATTTGACACCCCTTCCCAATTCACACGCATATAGGCCACGCCCTTCTCTATTTAGAAGGACCTGTATAGGCCTACACGCGGTTATTTTCACCACATCACGCGAGATTTAGAGTAATCCCATTATATGGGGGGGGGGAGTGGGTTAGGGTTAACCGTTAGTAGTAGTCGCTATTCATGTAACACTAGTCCTAACCCTCTCCACTTACTATGGGATTTCCCCAAATCTCGCTTGATGTGGTGACTTAACAGAAAAGAACCGAACACACTCAAATGAATATTGTGATAAATATACAAAAAATATTTGTGCCATTGTCACCTGCCCTACCTCTTCAAGTGACGGCGTGCGGTGTGGCCTGCACCTACCTTGCTACGCCTCGGGGGTCAGTTCCCTTGAGCCCCCATCCCAATTTTTAAACGGGCTCAGTCCCCCCCCCCCCCCCCCATTATTAAGACACACTCTTTGTTGAAGGCGGTCGTTTTAAACACGTCCAGTGACTTCCGATAACTTAGAATGTAAAATAACAGCTATACTAACTACTTTAATTATACAGCTGTGTCCGTGTCTGTCCTATTTTAGAATAATAGTAATCCAGCTTCGTCTATGTGCTATTATTTGGGAAGACACAATTAGTTTCCTGGCTAGATTAAACTAACAAACAAACCCACACACACACACACACACACACATACATACACGCACACACCGAAATAAGCCCCCACCTCCCAACCAAAATATAGGGGGTTGGGGCTAGTGTTTAATGAACAGCCACTACTATTAAGCCCTTGTCTATTTCCCATAGTCGGCTCTGTGGCTTAGTCGATGCGAACGCTTCGTAATGCCAGGGTGCCGAGTTCGATCCCAGCTGCGGGCCATGCGCCTTGTGTTGGTTTCAACAGTGGTATCAGGAGGCCGACCGTCCAGTAAGCAATGGCAAACTACTGGACGTAAATTTGCCCAGAGAAACCACACAACAACCAGGGGCTGCTGTGGTTGGTTCTGCAACGTCCTGTAAAGGAAACGCAACTAACCTAGCTCCCCTATACTATGGGACAGTCCGGGGATTTCCCTACCAAATCTCGAAGCCAGCCTGGTGTGTTAAAATAACACACTGACAGGCAGACGGATGGATGGATGGAAGGAAGGATAAGTGGATGGATGTATTTGACAGACAGATTAATCTGCAAGGCTGGATGGTTGGACGGATGTCAGATTGGATGGTTGGATAACAGATTGATGTATGAATGGATGGGTAGACGGATAGTTGGATGAATAGGTATACATGAATGTGAAAATATGAAATCGTTGGTCTCGTGATACAATGCTTCTCTCTTACTTTCAGCTATGAAATACAGACAGTAAGGATGATTGCTATACAAAGTGTCAGTCGAACCCAAGCGCAAAATTGAAAGTATTCCATTTGGGATGGTTAAAACCATTATGAAAGGGAGCGTTGGACGGATAGATGGGAAAATAAAATGAGTGGATGGTGGGTGAATGAATGGGTGGATGGTGGGATGAATGGATGGAATGATGGATGGTTATATTTGTGGATGGATGGAATGTTAAATGGATGGATGGATGGATCAGCCTATATGTAAGCTTATATAGGAAATCAGGTAAAAACATAGGTCTTTGTGATAAACGAGATATTTGGGACTTGTACCTGTTCGTTTGATTCTGATCCTTGAGATATTTTTGACTACACTCCTGGAGGTGAAAAAGTTGATGGCGGGGAAAGGGAGTATGTTTTGACTTAACCCAAGAATTATTGCATTTTTTTTTTTTTT